TACATATAACAGCGGGTATGGAGCCCGTTACTATTAACCATCCTGGACACTTATATTAAGATCCCAAAGAATTCCTCTCCCAGGATCACTTGTTCTGAGGAGACGTCGCTCACATCTCCTTCTTTCTTCTAGAAAAGGCTTTCGCTTGGTACTTCGCCTATCGGTACATAGTTGTGGTGGGCCACTTTCAGCTTGTTGAAGTTCAGTCTTGAGTTCCGACACTACCTCACTTCCAAAGTCCTCATTTGAAAATCACACTCAAACACAAAACCAGCACACTGCTGGAAACAGTACTCGGTACCGAGATTGGTAACATTTGCAAATAGTATGCGACTCTTGAAGGCATTGGTGTTACGAACCAACAAGACCACAAAGGGGAGGAGGCCCGCGGACAGGCCAGGGTTCATTGGCAGAAAATGAACGATAAGCACAACGCACGGAAGAAGGATACTGCGACACGAGTCACGTGACCAGGGGATAGCTGGGATAGCCAACGATCCCAGATAGCCACCTCATCAGTAAGGGAGAGATTGGATATATAAAGATGGACATTTCTTAACTAGACAGATAGACAATCTTTACCTCAGTGATCAATCTAAGCATCTTAGCCAACCCAAAGGTGAGAGAAATCTCCTGACGACTCGACTATTCAGTGATCCCCCGGATCCAGACCAAGCCCCAGTATCTGAGTGTCTTCTAGTTGACAGAAGCCTTTATCGTCCTTTGTGTTAACTTACCTCAGAACATAAACCCTATAGAACCCTTTAGCCTTATAGGTTAGACGGCTCGTCACAACTGGCTATCAGACTCTTGGGGTTAGGTGCTGGTCCAGTCCAGCCGTTGGCTGCCGTAAGTCCTTGGTTAATTTCCAGAAATCTAGCCCGTCTTCGAGTGTTGCGCGGTCACGTGACCCACTTGGGTTGGCATATTGCCCACATCCACTGCAGCTGCGCACCACCTCCAGACCTCAACAACAACAACAATACCAATACAGCAGATATGCAACCTTTTGGCCTTCTTGCTGTGCAACACCTGTAGCGAAACACCACACTGCAAGACGCACACTATCACACAGTCCTTACTGCTTATGTATTTGTTGAGAAAGATACGAGAGGCTTATTTCTGCTTCTAGCTTTACATGCGTCATGGTGCCGCTTGGACACTATGAAACGTGTCACCATGTAGTGCGTAGCTTGACCACGTAGGAGTGCTGCTCGATACTTCATGTATGTCTGACCTGACCAAGCGCCGACAATGACAGCTGGCGGTGATTTCGATGTTGAGGTACGTTTTGCTCATCTCCGGGTGTCTCATGGTATTGGGGTTAAGGGGGAAGATTCCAGGGCACCGTGTGATACTAGGAAGGGTTCTGGAAGCAGCCTTTCATGCGGCTACCTCTTCGCACCAAACTTTCTCAACGGCTGCCAATTGACATCCGACCGATGGATTGACTTCCGCTTCTGCTACCACCGGCATCCATACATCACGCTTCTGGTGGCTCTCCTTCGACCGCTTATACCACAGGCGCACAGTATGAAACTGTCCGAGGCACATCCAGATGGTTTGCTTTTGGTTTCTTGTGAACACTCCAACGTGTTCTGCACCCTAATGACTAGAGTATATCCACTAGTTCTCATTCGAAAGGACCATGTTATGGTTGGCTGATATTGTTCCTCGGTGGAAGCCTTGGGTGGAGCTGGTCAAGCACGAGATGTTTGCGCAAAGAGCGGTCGAAATATGCTGCAGAATCCCAATCTCCCTAAAGGATCCACAGCGCAGTAGTATACTACGCTTGAGTCATATTTGATCGAATACAGCTAAGTGAGTTTGCTGCATAATCCACAAGAGCGAACACCGTATCAAATCATTGACAAGGGGAAGACACCCAATCTTCCCATAGGGTCCCCAACTCAGTAGCAAACCACGCTTGAGTCAGATTTGATAGAGTACAGCTTCGTGAGCTTGCTGCATATTCCGATTCGCGGCCGTAGTCCAAATTACCACGAGTGGCCAGGACGTTCACAGCATGACTGTCTTTTCTTTCCCATATTCCCGGTCGTCCAGCTCTCCAGTCTGACTCTTAGACTTACGAGAGCTTCAAGAGAAACAGAACCCATCCTGACCACCTGCTTATCGTTCCTTTCATTCAGCACGCATCAAGCCATTACCGCCATGAGGCTCGCCATCATGGCCAAGTTTGCCGTCTGGTGCGTCGTGGCCCATATGTTGAGTGGCGTTCTGGCGGATGCCGCCCACGATGGTCAGTCTTCTTCTTTGATCCTCTCTTGGTAGGCCTATAGTAGCAGGTGGATGGAATTTGACAACCCACAGCAGATCCTCCTCCCTCTCCCAGTGTCATCACATGTATCTCGGAGCTCATCATGGAGACGATTGAAGAATGCCCCCTAAGCTCGATTACGATTGACGGGATTACCACAGCGGCGCCCCCTTGGACGACTCAATCCTCGACTTCGACTGTGTTCGTCACCTCCACTTACACGGGCTTGACCTGTTGTCCCACTGCCGGTTCGCTGCCTTCCAACTCGACAAGGGCGCCTGTCCCGGGTCTCGTGGCTTCAGTGTCTATTCCAGGACTTGGTCTGACAACGGTCTCCCTATCGCCTGGCCAAGAAACTGTCATTCCTCTACCTGCCGGCCTGTTAACGACGATTTCTGCTCCTAGCGCTATTCCCCCTGGCTCAGCCATCACATCTTCCGACTTGGTCATCACATCTTCCGGGAGTGGCACGGCCACACCCGCAGCCACTCTTCGTACGACCACATCAGCGGGAACCGAGTCGCTCACGGTTCCACCCACTCAGTCGCCCACAGGAAACACCCCTTCAACCAGTTCCTCAATCCCTATTTCACCGATCATCGTCGGTACTCTTCCAGACGGCTGGACGGCCACATATACACCTACCTCATCGACCCAGCCAGCGCTTTCGTCGACGGAGATACTTCCATCAAGCCCGTCTTCTGCCAGCACTGTACCCACAACATCCGCCTCTCCGACGTCGTCTTCAGGTATCGTCACTGTGCTGCCTCCCCCGCCTACCGAGACGACCGGATCTTCACGTCGTCTCCTGGTATTGTTACTGTGCTGCCTCCACCGAGTACCGAGACGCTTGGCTCTCCAACATCGTCGCCAACGGGTGCCTCGTCGTCAACTACAACATCCACAGCCGGAATCATCATTACGCCGCCGGGCACGGACCTGCCTCCTCTTACTACCGGGCCTTCATCGACATCTACGCCTAGTACTGTGCTTACCGGCTCTCCAACATCGTCACCAGCAGGTACATTTTCGTCATCTACTATATCGGCAATCGGGATCATTTCCCCGCCGGGTACGCACATACCTCCACCTACTACCGGGCCTTCGACAACATCTGCGCCTAGTACCGAGCTCACCGGCTCTGTAATATCGTCACCAGCGGGTACGTTTTCGTCAGCTACTACATCGGCAACCGGGATCATTTCGCCGCCGGAGACGAACGTGCCTCCTTCTACTACCACCACTAGGCCTTCGACGACATCTGCGCCTAGTACTGAACTCACCGGCTCTCCAACATCATCGCCCATGGGTACGCCATCGTCAACTACGTCCGCAGCCGGAATCATCACACCGCCGCCAGGCACCACTGAGCCGACTGGCGGTGGTGGTGGTGGTGGTGGTGGTGGTGGTAATGACCCGACAAGCAATATCCCACCCCCAGGAACCGACAGCCCGACCGGCGGTGGCGGCAGTGACCCGACAAGCAACATACCACCTCCCGGAACCGACAACCCAACCGGCGGCGGCGGTAGCGGTAGTGGTAGTACCCCGACGAGCAACATCCCCCCTCCCGGAACCGAAAACCCAACCGGCAGCGGTAGAGGCAGCGGTAGCCCTACAATGCCGTCTCCGACCGGAATACCAACACCCTCTGTTCCAAGTTCGTCGTGTGGTGGCCCGGCCCCCTACTGGGACTGCTTCCTCGACGACTTCGTCAACTACAACCTCTCGCACCCCACTGTGCACAGGACTTGCGAACTTCGCTAAACAGCTGGTGACCATTGACGGCATTGAATACTACGTCCCTGTTAGCGGTGATCCTATTTACTTGATACTTCAAGACGCTACGGGCACGGAAATCACAATCTCGCCGGACCGAATTGTTTTTGGGGAAGCCGTATTTGCAGTGCCGTCCACGCCCCTGCCAACCCCTTCCGTCTCTCAGGGGAACTACAAAATCAGCTTCCGGTCGAGGCCCTTGCCGTATCCGCCGATACAGCCAGACATACAGCCAGCGACATCACCTGCCGCTCGGGCGTCCGCTCTCGGGGTAGCCAACGATTACATCCAGTCTGCCGTCTCAGCAACTGATCCCGTAGCTCACTTCTTCTCCCTCATGTGGGACCTCTTCATTTCACTCGACCAGCCTGCTGCCAATCCAGCTGGCTTGCTAGGCTCAACGGACGAGCTCCTCGATGCCATTCAGACTGCGGCCGTAAACGTGACGGTGCTTCTGACTCGCCCCAAGATGATGACCCAGACGACGATACGCCTGATGGTGATGGCCCAGACGACGGTGGTGATTCTTGCGAGGACCCCGCAGACACTGGGGATGATCCAGACGATGACCAGACGGTGGCCAGCCAACTGACCAGCCCTCGACCTCGGAATATCTCGAGACGGTTTACTCGGGGCAGCCTGGAATTCACGACCTGCGCTCGAGGGCCCCGGGGAGAACCGAGGGACTACTCAACCTGGCGCTCTTTTTGTCCAGGTATGAAGCGAACGACCACAGCTTATTGCTCGCACATCTTCAAAAGCACAGGGAAAGCTTCATGTCAAACCAGCCTCAGGGGGCCGCAGGTCTGGCGAGTGGCGGCGGCGTGTTGATTCCAGGAGCAGCGGTTTTCCACATTGTGTCCCGGGTGGTCATGAACGCTTCCACAGCGCTTTTTGGCACCCGCCACTGGTACATCAAGATGGAACCCCTGCTGTCGCGCCCATGTGGCACTACAACTGGACGGCTGAGTTCGCCGACAAGAACATTGGCGAGCGCGTGGCCACCGACATGGTTCACGACGACGTCGACTGCAGCACTGGATACGGCTACCTCGCAGAGATGGACATTGCGCAGGGTTATCCGTTCATGTATTCGCTGACCAATGGATCTCACTCGCTAAAGCATGCAGACAAACTGATTTCCTTTACGCACCTTTCGCCCACCATGGAGGAGATGCAAGCGAGGGTCGCCCGCTACGGGCCCGGCTGGAACTTTGTCAAGTGGAGCAGACGCCCTTCGTCACAGCAGACGCCAACGAATAAGACATCCGAGGAGGAGCTTGCTCACCTCGTGCCGACAGACGAGCCCCTTCCGCCTACGTTTGATCAGCAGAGACTAATATCGGCTGACTCCAGAATGCCTCTTATAGGACAACCCTACAGCCGTGATGACACAGATGGAGAGGGCATTACAGTATTTGTATTGTATACAGGATTCGACGTGTCTGCAAATGTGAGTACATCACATTTTCGCTACCTGGGCCAGCGCTGACACAGACATTGCACAACCCAGTTCGCCGATTGGGGACTCACCCAAGACGACATCAACGGTGACTGGGGTGAGGTCTCCTACACGTTGCCAAACAATGTGGCTTTGAAAGTCGTACCACAGGAGATGTGGTTGCCAGAGAACATGGATGATGTTGCTGTGAGTCCTCAGCTATTCGAAATTCCCTTACAACGCGCAGGTCACTTCACTGATCTCTACTCATTCCTCAGGCCGAAAACGGCGTCATTGTAGGGCACGGCACGTACGTGGCTTCTATAGCCGTCGGCCGCACTTATAGTATTGCCAAACGTGTGTGGTACGTATATTAACATCCCATCAGAAGACCCTGAGCCTTGGTTCCAAGAACAATCCTTGGTGTCCCCTTTCCTTCTTCATTTAGCAATCGCCTGTGTGGGGTTCGAGACCGGATGTTAACGTGCACGCAGACCGTTCCTGATAAAGACCCGGAATTCATTCCGCGATGCCACCGGTGACTTTTACACTGCGGACACACAGGTCCAAGCTATAGATGCATCTCTAAAGTGGTCAACGTCATCAAGGATCGAGGGCTCCAGGGCAAGGCCGTTGCCACGTGTTCTGAGTGTAAGTCTCTTTCCTTCGCGGTAGCCATCTTCCGAGCTGACACTTCTCAGCGTATCCTCACCTCGATTTTGATACGTGGTCGGAATAATGGGATGTATACACCAAACATCTAAATGCCTTGAAGGACCTGGGGGTAGTCTATGTCCTGGCTGCTGGGAACGGGGGTTTCGACCCAAACAACCCCAACGGGGATCTTTCTTACATGGCGGACACAATTCCGATTTCGATGGCCAAGGCAGATAGCAATGTCATCGCTGTCGGTGGCACCGACTCGCTTGGCAGATATTGGCCTAGGACTTCCCCTGAGGGCGATTACTGCAACTGTCCTGTGACCATCTGGGCACAGGCCACCAAGGTCAGGTGTGCTGGCATAGGTGGAATCCCAGTAGATGTGGATGGGACAAGTGCCGCTGCACCACAAGTCGTAAGTCCATTCTGAGCGAAAGGCCGTTCGGCCGGAGACAGGAACTGACTCTCTCAGGCGGGCCTGGCAGCTTACTTCCTCCGTCTCTACCCCGGCTCGTTCCAGTGGGATCCAAATGGAGCGGCAGATCAAGGCTATCGGCACACCAAGAACCTGAAGGACCTAATGACAGGACTTGCCTACCGCAGAGTTCCGATGGACCAACAGCTGCCCCCAGCAGGCGTACAGTTACCATATCCAATGCCAGCGGATATCAGGGTTGCCTACAACGGTATCCACGGCCAACAACCCAGTCAGTCCCCCGACGAGTGTTGACACAATGTAGCGTCAATACCATGCGTGGGAACGGCCAGCTAACGTGATCACAGACTGCGATGCACCGCCCAACCCTATCCACCCCAAAAGGTCGGACCCGAATGACCCGGACTACGTGTGCCCCCTTGCGCCCCCGACCACCCTGGCTACAGCGACGGTGCCGGCCACGACAGTCCAGTCACCGTCACAGACCGGGGCACCCTCGAACGGGAGCACACCCACGACTTCAAACACATCCTTGCCCTCGAGCATGTCCATGAACTCGACTTCGACCGCGAGCATGCCTATGACTTCAAGCATATCCTTGACCTCGAGCATGGCCACGAACTCGACCTCGACAGCGAGCACGCCCACAACTTCAAGCAAGTCCACGACCTCGACCACGACCGCAAGCAACCCCACGACTTCAAGCACATCCTTGACCTCGAGCACGTCCGCGACCTCGACCTCGGCCGCGAGCAAGCCCACGACATCAAGCACATCCTTGAAGTCGACCACGACCACTTCGTCTTCTACCACCTCGACTTCGTCCACCAAGTCCACTTCGTCCACCAAGTCAACTTCCTCCGCCAAGTCGACTTCGTCCAGCACCTCAACCACCACCACATCCCCAACCTCGACCAAGCCAACACCCACACCCACCCCAACGACGTATCATCACGGGCCAGCCGGCTGTGACAACGACGACTGCAGCAAGTGCTCTGCAGGCTTCACCCAGCACTGTGAGACGGACGAGGCATCACACTCAGTCTCCTGCGCCTGCGCATGGGACTCAGGCTGTGCAGCCAACGCGCCCGAACCGGGTATGTTCCCCCAACCTCAACCCTGACGCCAAGCCCACAGACGCGACCCAGAGCGTGGATTTATAGACGGTGCGTAAGCATAAAAGGCTGACGCAAACGAAACAAACAGGCGAGTGCAACAACAAGTGCCCCAGCAAAGAAGACGCCCGCTACTGCGACACCAAGGCGGATTCCCTATCGTATCCGTACGGGTAAGTGACAGAGGGCGTGGTGATACCTACCGACCTACATACACCTTAACTAATACCCGGTTCTAGCAACTGTGAGTGCAAGAGTTCCGATTGCAAGGATCCGTCCGCCTGCCAGGACATCTACTGCCCGAGCGGCGTCGACAAGACGTGCCAGCGAAATGATGTCGGCTGGGGTGGTTCGGGCTTCTGTACCTGCGAGACGTGATGGATGGATGGGTTGGCGGAATGGACGGTTTGAGTGTGATATTGATCGTGCGGGCATACGTGATTTAGTATCGACCCTGAATATTTGCGAAGATTTTCATGTGGCCATAGGCTACTGCTAGAACAGTGGCGTCTCCTCCTAGTAATGCGAAATATTTGAATGTCCCATGGCGGTGAATTAATATAAGGATATCCTGTAGATTCCTCTTGCACCATAGGAAGGCCAGTGATGTTGCAATCTGTCCTGTACCTGCAAGTCATGACATGTTCTAGGTATCTATGGGGTGAACGCAGTAACAAGTCAACGGATGGATGGCAACGACAAGAATCATAGACCAGGATCACCTGAAAGGGGAGAGATGGATGCCCCAATTCCAATCGAGTGGAGGTTGTCACTTCTGCACGGCCACATCACGTGCACAGATCACTGCCCCAGCTAGGGCTTGCCGCTATGACAAGACAGCACTGTGAATCCCATGACAAAAGGAAAGAAATGCAAAAATGAAAAGCCAGCCAGCAATACAACGAGCAAAAGATAATGCGACCCAGACGGGATTCGAACCCGCAATCTCCAGAGTGATGATTTCAACCGAAATCTGGCGCGATACCATTTCGCCACCAGGCCGAATCCAACAGGGATGTTGATTGATGGAAGATCAGCAATTTGTAGTCATATAAGTAGGAAAGAGCTAAGGCTTTGCTATTGATCATGTGTGTGTGGAGTTGTGCCGCTTGTATGGATCTCCTGGATAGACTGTGGTTAGAATGCGGTGAGCATTACACAGCTTTGCTAGCTAATCGGAAGAGCCAGCGGGTCGGGGGTGGAGTGAGGAGCCTGGCAGGCTCCCCCTGAGAGATGGCTTCGGGTTCATACGAGGCCATGTTCGGCCTTTTCTTATCTCATACGAAGAAAAATCACCAAGAACAGCAAATGGTTAATCTTCACTAAGTATCTACTACGGCTCCTTACACTCACTCCGCCAAAGCACCACGACGAACTACCTAACAAATTTCGCTCCAACCCCCAGTCTTCAGTGCACCATAGCATCCTCAAACAGCCTGCGCAACTGGTCCCTCTCGCGCTCCAGCTCCGCCGCCAAGCCCGGCGCCAGCATCAGCACGCGGGCCTGGGGGATAGTCCCCTCGACCAGCGCATCGATGTGGTCGTGGCCGAACCCGAGCTCCTTCAGCCCCTTCGGCTGGTCGCCGAGCTCAGCCAGGAACGCCGTGACGGCGTCGGCGAGCGCCTCGCCCGCGTCCTCGCGCTTCACGTTGGTGACGTCCACCCCAAAGGCCTCGGCCGCCGCGAGGTGGCGCTCAGGGTTGGAGGGCCCCGTGAACCGGAAGACGGCGGGCGCCGACACGGCGACCGAGACGCCGTGCGGGATTATAGGCGTGCTTACTTCGTAGCCTGCGTGCTGGTACCCCGGGTTCTGGCCCGAGATCGGGTAGGACATGCCTGTTGGTTGGGCGGGCTAGTTAGTACAGGTGCATCGCATCGCCCTGCGATGATCGCGATGGGAATCAATCTACTTGCCGTGACATAGATGCACTCCCGCGTTGCCAAACCCCACACCGGCAAGCGTAGCAGCGAGTAGCATCTCGCTCTGCGCCTCAAAGTCCTCGGGATCCTTTACCGATCTCGGGAGGTACTTGACGGTACTCCGTAGCGCACTCAACGAGAAGATATCGCTGATCGGGTTGGCGCCCTGGTATGCAGGCCGCATGATCGGGTTCGTCGGGCGAGGCGTCCTCTCGTTGAACGGGATTGCGGTCCAGGACTCGAGCGCGTGGCAGAGGACGTCGAGGCCGGAACTTGCCTTCACGGCCGCGGGCATCGTCCGCGTGTTCAGCGGGTCGCAGATGCCGAGCGTGGGCTTGAGGTTGCGATGCGCGATGCCGGTCTTTGCACGCTTGGCCACGAGGTCAAAGATGGCTGTCCCCGTCGTCTCGCTGCCCGTGCCGGCCGTGGTGGGGATGGCGATCAGGGGCTTGAGCTGCTTGTCGATGGGCCGCCCGTTGCCTAGGGGCGCGTTGACGAAATCGAGGAAGTCGGCATCGGGATATTCGGTGTATAAGTTCATCAATTTGGCTGTGTCAATGACCGAGCCTCCGCCAACGGCCAGGAAAGCGTCTGGTTTGTAGGGCTTGGCGAACTCGATGGCTTCTTTGATGCTGGTTTTCGTTCAGTAAGACTTCATTTCTCGCTGAAGCATGTCGGTCACGTACGAGCTATCCTTCGGCTCGACTCGCACCTTGTCAAATATATCATATTCAACACCCTCCCTCGACAGAGCCTCCTCAACCTGCTTCATGGCAGTGAGTTGCCTGACTGTCGGATCAGTCACGACACAGACACGCTTGACACCCATGTTCTTGAAGTCCATGCCGACTTCCTGGGTTACGCCAGGCCCGAATCGAATTGAGGACGCGGCCATTTCGAAGGCGTATTCCTTCTGCTGGGAAGGGTCCATAGGCGAGGCGAACCCGCGCCGGCCAGTCTGCCACGTCCGCTGGGCATAGGCGTCGATCTGGGGTCTGGCAGCATGGTGGTGATGATGTCCTGGGTTTGAGTGGCATGGACACGAGGGCGGGTGCGTGTACTGCACTGTCCGGAGCAGTTTCAATGCCCTCGTTGCGGCCTGTTGTCTTCTCAGTTCATCCTCTCCAATGTGCAACCTAACCTTACATCTATGATGCGGAGTAGGTACTTACACTCGGGGCAACGCGGACTGCGGCAGCCATCTCGGCGAATCCTCCGACTCGATATGGTACTCAATTGCCGCGTTTGTGATTCTCAAAGGCTTCCAACAGCTATACAGTTGTGTAAACCTCTTGTCCCTTACTCATCCTCTTCAGTTATCCAGCTGGTAGGTTGGTGTGAGTGAAGACCAAGACATCGTCATCACCGCGGGGAAGACGACCTCGGTATGGCATGGTGTGGGGTACCTGAGTCCGGATGCATTGAGCCGATCAGCTAGAGTGACAACCAGGACCCCGAGATCTCCGCATCACGAACCCATTTTGCTGCAGCTGTGCACGTACTATATCCGCAGCTATGAGGATACCAGGTAGAAAATGAAGGCTTTGCTCTGCTTAGGGGCTTACAGGCCGACTTGGGGCCGTGTGTTGTTCAGTAACCTCTTGAGTCTTCGGCAAGCTTCAAGCGACTAGACAGTGGATCCACGTACGTACAGTACAGCCTGCATCTGCGCCCACACACGACCTGGGAATCAGAGGGATGTCACACAGATCGGATTGACTTGTTCCACATCGGGCAGGACCCCCGTAGAGATCGCCGGTGTGACTCAGCCGGAGAGCATAACGTTGCTCAATCCCCACCATCTGTATCATCCCCACCGTATGTCAGTATCGTGTTATCGGAGCTCGGAGCTGGCCTATATATGAACGAGCAGGACCAGGCAGAAGTACAGTAGATGTTTTGAACTGAGAGCCAGCCTAGAACCATCTCACCAAGGTAGCACACATACTGTCGATTGAATTCAGAGTGAAATATTTCTCCAATATGTCAGCCTCAAACACCGCCGGCGCCAGCGAACCGTCTCGGATGCGAATCCGAGACCTTCTGCCAAACCTAAATCTCGGCGACTGGAAGCCGGGACCACTCAACTCGCTGACAGACGTCCCCGGCGTCCGGGTACACACCCAGGAGATCTTCGCCGACAATGGGAACGTGAACACCGGAGTCACGAGCATCCTTCCGCGCGAGGACTGGTTCCATAAGGCCTGCTATGCCGGCATCTTCAGCTTCAACGGCTCCGGAGAGATGACCGGTAGCCATTGGATCAACGAGACTGGCTTGCTGCACTCCCCGATCATCATCACCAATTCCTTCGCTGTTGGTGCTGCTTACCAGGGCATCTACGAGTACACGATCAAGGCTCAGGGGGTGGTTAAAGGCCAGGTCGACTGGTTTCTTTTGCCGGTTGTCGCCGAGACCTTTGACGGGTATCTGAATGACTTGAGCCAATTTGTCATCAAGCCAGAGCACATCATCAAGGGCTTGGAAAGTGTGTCCAGTGATCGCGTCAGAGAAGGCTGCGTTGGTGGGGGTGCTGGAATGATTTGCCGTAAGGAATGCTCTCAATCATTCCTCATTCTCCAGCGCCATTACTAGTACTGAATTCGATGGATGCAGATTACTTCAAGGGTGGAACAGGCAGCAGTAGTCGAGTGGTCCCGGGCTTCAACAGCAAAGGGGAGCCCAAGGACTACACCGTGGGTGCGCTGGTGCAGGCCAACTACGGCAAGAAGCCTCACCTACGAATTACGGGTGTGCCTGTTGGACGCATCCTGGCTGCAGAAGCCGAAAAGGCGGCTGAGAAAGATGCGGAGAAGAAAGCGGCCCAGGAGAACCTGGAGAGGGAGAAAGACCGAAAGGACGGCAGCATCATCGTGATCATCGCCACAGATGCGCCCCTGCACCCGACTCAACTTCAGCGACTGGCCAAGAGAGCAACGGTAGGCCTTGCCCGAGTCGGTGGTCGGGGACACAACCCCAGTGGTGACATCTTTCTGGCCTTCTCAACCGGCAATGGTATCCCCGTCCAAACGATATCCATGGATCGGCGTGCAGTGGATCCATTCAAGCCGTCAACTAATGATGCCGAGCTGGTGGATGATTCGTCTATCAACGGCCTCTTCGAAGCTGTCGCAGAGGCGACAGAGGAAGCGATCTATAACGCCTTGTGCATGGCGGAAACAATGGTGGGGAACCAGGGACACACGATCGAGGCGCTTCCCCTTGAACGAGTGAAGGAGATCATGGAGAAGTATATGGACTAGATTGTGTTATCGTGAAATAAAACAGTGTCCAGGCTGGCCAGGACGCAATGTGCCTTGTGGTAGCGGTATCCAGAATGAGGACCAGGGTCACGATAGGTGGCTATTGGTCTGTATTCTGGAAGTTGCTTGATTGAAAGAAGGGATGGGTGGTGTCCCCATCCCAGAAGTAGCTATCATCCCAGTTGGGTACAAATCAGGTACAAACGGGTACCCGTTGGGCTCCAAGGTACCTTGTATCCTGGTCCGTGACCCATCCGTTATTGTGGCTGGAAAATGGGTTGAGGAGCCACAGCAATGTGTGAAAGGATGTCTGGTGTCAGTGCATGTTTGGTCTAAAACTGTGGGGGACAGACACGTGGCTAGTGATGTGGCGGTGGTCACTCAACTGTGGCGTCACCCGAGGAGACAGAAGCCAAGGATTCCAAGCCAGGCAGTCCAGGGTACTTTGGCCTCTTCGACATCTCATACTGCGCGCGATCTGCCATCCCGTCCGTCCCTATATGACCATTCCATGCTGCCCTTTGCTGGACACCATCGTAATATTACCCTCCGGTCAACTACCTTCCCGATACCACATCTTCGAATCCCTCTATCTGCATCACAATTCACCGCAACGTCTTGCGATTGATTACCCAACCGTGGAGGCGACTGAGGCGACCGCGCCGCCTTGAACCTTGAACTCGAACCATTCGTTACTACCGAGCCGGCAATTGGTCAAGGCTACATGCAGAGAGTGAACACAAAGATGCTCCCTGAACCTCCCCGAATAGTGCGCCCCCAGCTCCATTCATGAGTCCACGCCGGCTTGGATCCCGTCAACAATGGATAATCCGCGGCCCAATGGCAGTGGCTCCGGCTCTGCCTTTGGCCGTGACATGAACAGAGCCGAGAAGTTCGAGGAGGAAAAGCGGCGCATCGTTGAGAGCTGCTTCAACAAGAAGGACATCGATGGATCATGTATGCTGCTACCCTGCCCTCCACCCTCGACCCTCTGTTCCTGGCGAGCAACAAGTTGCTGACTTGACAACTCTTCAAGTGCTGGAGACATACATCACCCACATCAAGATCACCGAGTTCTCGTCCCATCCTACGAGCCCACCTCCTCCAGAAGCCCGAAGCCAATCCGAAAAGCCTCGAGTCATCATTGTAGCCGTGCGGAAATCGGGTCGAGTGCGCATGCACAAATCCAAAGAGAACGCGAACGGGTCTTTCTCCATCGGCAAAACTTGGGATTTGAATGACTTGACCGCCATAGAGTCCTTCACTGGCCCGACGGCCGATCCGCAGAAGCGGGAGTGGGCGGGCGACACGGGATTCACCGTCAGCATCGGAAAGCCGTACTACTGGCAGGCCCATGCAGACAAGGAGAAGAAGTTCTTCATCGCTAGTCTCATCAAGATATTTGGCAAATACACAGGCGGCAATGTCCCCGAACTCAAAGGGTTCGAGCAGCGTGAACTCGACCAAGTGCTAGGGACACGAAGGCCACCCCCAGGAGGGCGAGCGCCAACCGCTGATTCCATGTCACCGCGACCTACGCCGACTCCTCCTCAAATCAATGCCTTGCCTCCCCCTAGAGCCCCTTCTCGACCTCCCTCCCGACCAGAACCCAAGAGCATGCGATCCGATGCCGGACTTGCGCAGAATAATGTCAATTATTCCCCTGCTACGAGCGTTGCTCCGCCATTTCAGGCCTACCAACCTCCCTCGCCTGCGCGCAACCTAGCACCCCCCAACGGCACTGCATCGCCTGCTCCCAGCATGGACTCGACCCGTGCTGTCAACCAGCCTCCAGTACTGCGCAGGTTAGCTGGGAACAATAGAAGTCAAGATTCATTCTCTACGGCGCGGAGCGACGATACAGGAAGCATACCCCCGCGATCAAGAGGTGGCATGCCGGGACCTGGCGTACACGGCAAGTTTGGCGAGTCGGAAATAGTTTCAAAGGTCGACCTCCCAAGTAGGAAAAGGCCACCAATGGATCCAGCTAGACCGCAGATTGGGATTGGGGCAGACAGTGATCTTGTTCCAGCACCACTGATGGCCCAGGGCCCTCGAAGAGAACCGCAACCGCCTCCCCGAAGCACCGAGCGGATGTTGAGCAAGGACTCCATTGGGAAACAGCCAGAGGTCAGTTTGCCAAGGGATACGCAAAGCCCAGTACCAGCACCAGTACCAGAACCAGCACCAGAACCAGAGAAGGAATTGCCTACTGCTTCAAAACCGAGTACTGATGGGAACTCGGCCGCTTCTGCTGCTCCGAGCCCAGCATCCGAGACGCCACCTGTCGAGACGCCCGCAGAGGGAGACGACGAGAACCGCCCCGGGCTAGGCCCAATGATCAAGGCGAAGAAATCACGTGGTGACTTAGCCGGCACCTTGTGGAAAGCTGCATCAGCCGCAAGGGTCTTCCAACCGCGGCCTGGAGGAGCGGGAGAGCGGTTACGGGAGGCAAAAGCCAAAGCTGCGATAGAGGGTCCGGATGGAATTACCGGCGTAGTGCCAGCTCCGCCTCGTCCAATTCCTCAGCCCGAGACCCCTCAGCCTGCCGAACCTGTATCGAAACCAGAGGGCACGACTGCGGTTGTGCCTGAAGTCCGAGTTACAGTGCCCAATTCAAGTCGACCCAACAGCCTCCAACCTTCTATTAAAGACGATAACAGAAAGATCTTGGAGGAAGCAAGCAAGGACGACGATGACCCTCGGCGTCTTGCTGTCACCGGCAACGATGTGAAATATTTTTCGGCCCTTGGTGTCAACACCGGCCTCGTCGCCGACACAACTGCAGAATTTGCAACATGGCTGGACCATTTTGGTTGGCTACCTGGAGAACAGATGCGAACGCGCAATTTCGAAGAGATGAAGATGGATGTAGACCGAGAACTCAACAAGGCTCAAGCTGGAGGCTGGGTCGTTCGGTTTCAGGAAGAGGATGAAAGGGTTGACGGGATCAAGAAGGGCCTCGATTCGGCTATTGCCGAGTGCGATGAGTTGGACAATCTGCTGACACTCTATAGCGTGGAACTATCTGTAAGTGCAGTGCCGACTGGCTGGGACTGCTCACTAACAGCAGACAGACACTCTCTGACGACATTGCCTACATTGAAGCCCAAGGTCAAGGTTTGCAGGTTCAAGCTGCGAATCAAAAGCTCCTTCGAAAGGAACTCGAATCGCTACTAGATACATGTGCCATCACATCAGATGATCTTCAAGCTCTCCAAGTCGCTCCCCTCGAAACGGCGTCCGGGCTGGAGGAAATCGAGACCGCCCTTGTCACCCTGTTCAAGGCTATGACGAAGATCGACTCTTCCATGGCTGCCTCCGAGCCTCGAAAGAGCGAGGATGCAAGCATGAGCGAACAGCACGCCACCCTGAACCCCGACTATGGCAAGATGCGAATTGTTCAGGAGAAGAAGGAGATGTATCTCTCGCAAAGTGCCAGCTTCTTGCAAAGGTTTGGTGGATTCATGTCCCGCCAGATCGACAAAGCTTCCGGGGAGACAAAGTCAGCCATGGCCGGTGCTCTGTCCAAGAAGGTTGACCCACGCAACCACGATTCCGGAAGGGGTGTGCTATGGAAATATAGCCCTCTGGTCCTGTATGCCCGAGAGGTGGATCTCGAGCAGTGGAATCGCTACCTCCAGATTTATCAGGAAAAGAACTTGCCGCTCTACAAAATCGAGTTTAAGGACGTCGTTGACGCGTGGAAGCGAAATGCGAGGAAACCTTCTGGTGAGGAATTGGAGCTGCTCTTCACATCACTGGAGGAGAAAAAACAAGAGAGCACGATAGCGACTGCCAGAAGAGTCACTGTCAAGAGGAGTCAGACTCTGGCGAGGTCCCTAAGAACTCCCCTGGGCGACGGGGGCAGAGCCACTAGCGAGAAGGGTGCCGATACCCGCAATCTACCCTATGAGGCGTTTGCTGGTATTATGGACGATTTGATGCCTCTCGTGGAGATTGAGCAGAACTTCATTGTGGACTTCTTCCACGCTACAACCTTGGAGACAGCCGATTTCCCAGACCTAGTGGCAGCAGCGAGGCCTCAAGACCGGCGAGGTGGTGACTTGAAACGACACAGGGTGATGGAACCCGATCGAGAGCTTGCTAGGAGGGTGACTCGATCTATGGAGGTGATTTTCTCCTTTCTGGAGCAAGACCTGCAAAACGTGGTCAACTGGGTCTTGTCACAAGATGCGCTGTAAGTACTATTGCCTTCAGGTGCGTACACTCGTCTCAAGAGCTAACACACACGCAGTCAGGGAGTGGGTGTCCTTGCCATCCTGGAGCGCAAGCACTTGGAGATGACTCAATCGAATCAAGACTTTCTGAACAACATCCTGCAGAAACTTCACAGCAGTCTCGAGTCCAAGTTCTCCAAGTTTGTTGAAGATCAGATACGTGCCATCGAGGAGACAAAGGTCAAGATCCACAAACGCAAGGGCGTGATAGCGTTCATGCGAATCTTCCCACACTTCTCCAGTGCAGTTGAGAACATGCTCTCGGCCGTTGATACGACGTCGTCTGTGAGGAAGACTGTTGATCAGGAGTATGACCGTATTATCAAATCCATGTTCGACTCTCTCAAAGTCATTGCTCGGGAAAATCCTGCTACTCTCACGAGTAACGGTGCCGACCCAGAGGACAAAGAGGCACTCAACTACCACATCCTACTGATCGAGAACATGAACCACTTCTTGGAAGAGCTCGATACCCATGGTCTCGAAATACTCGAGGACTGGAAAGAAGCCGCAGCGGGAGAGATGGCCGAGCACTTGGGTCTTTACCTCAATGCGGTAATGCGTCGACCACTAGGCAAGCTACTCGAGTACCTGGAGAACATCGAGGCTCAAGTAGCCTCGGGCAAGAATATGTCCATCATAGCTGCCCAGCCCAGCAATGCGAAGGGGACATTCAATAAAGTCCTCAGTGGCTACGACGGACGCGAAGTCCGGAAGGGCATTGAAGCATTGCGCAAGCGAGTGGAGAAGCATTTTGGGGATGCCGACGATCCCAATCTGAGCCGCAGCCTCGTTAACCACGTGCTCCGCGAGTGCGAAAAGTTCTACAACGACATCGAGGTGCGCATCTCGACCATCACGACGAGTGTATATGGCGGCGATGTATTATTTGAGTGGCCCCGGGCGGACATCAAGAGCGCCTTCTCCAACACTGGTCGGTAGAACGGGTCTGGTGAATGGAGGAGCTATGCGTCATCGTCGTCCCATAGCCTCAGGGCCCGTGGGACCCCGTCGGTGACGCGACTGCGTGGTTTGGGCGTTGACGGCTTGCATGATGAGAGCTCGATATAGGGGGTTCTGGGGGTATTGGCTGCATGATAATTGTATAAATGATAACGAATTCAGTGAGGGTGGTTTCTTGCTGTGTGTGCCTTGGTGTCTGTGGCCTGTCTGCCTCGGTAATGTGGTTGTGTTGCTCGTCTTTCAGCTGGTCGAGACGTGCCCATGAGATGTTCTTTACTCTGGACTACCATGTGATCCTTCGGTTGAGTCTTGACACTGGGCCCCGAGAACGCCGTCTCTCGAAGGGGCACAAAGCTCTTTAATAAAGTGCAGTCCTTGTCTCATGTTCGTAATACCGGCGACTCTGGGCCATGTTCAATGCCCATGAAAAACCTCAGCCCTCATCCTGGTTTCCAACACTGTAAGCGTTGATCTTCGGTTTCCTTTGGCCAGGTGTTAGAGATAATACTCACATATATTGAGGAAGCATCATCCCCACCGGTGGGAAGATCTATGTAAATGATAACCAGTGCCCAATCCTTGGTATACGCACTCGACTGACTTGTCGATGCCTCACCGTGGCTAGGCCATATTCAGAGGTAGGCAGGCCATATACAAGGATATGCCATATTCAGAGGTATGCTTGTGGGTGGTCATGGACTGTCTGGCTTTAACCCTGCCGGGTCATACCCGAGGATAGGGAGTTGTGTTCAAGGAACTGAGGAGAAGTATATCCCTCCTTAGCTATGTAATCGAGGAACAGGATCAGCAAGACATGTCCGCTGCTACCTTTCTGGGAGGCTTCACTACTCCTCAGTCCGAGATGTCCACATCCCGAGGGTACTACTCATTTGTCCATACTACCCTGGCCATTACTGGGCAGGTGGTTTACCCCAACATATTGTCCCTGAAGATGCTAGAAGATCCTCGGGCCAAGTGAACCTTCTTCGCTAGGCGTTCAGAGGTTCCCGAGCATCCTCTAGTAGTCGCCTTTGCGATGCTACATATGCTCTCATCTCGAGACGAATGTCAATATTCTCAACGAAATAGAGCTCGTATTTCACTTCTTTGCCAGATTCCCCTTCTTGCTCATATTTAGAGACAGTGGTAGTTACTTCACCTAGGTGCGTCTCCAACTCTTGGTAGAAACCAGCCAGTCGTAAGCTCTCCAGCGGACATGAGCCTCCCTCACACAAGGTCCGGCCTTTTCTGGTGTCCTGATCCCAAAGCCTTGATACCGACATCCTCAACCTTTCGTACAGGTCGCCAGGCTGTTTCGGAGCTGTAGAGTGCCATGGTGATGATTCAATTGGAGCCGTACTTTGGTGAAGCCCGGCGTATCGGGACTATTGCCTCGGCAAATATTGTATCGTCAGGTTCGGTTCCATCTGACCTCTTGTATTCACTCCAGCTCATCCCGTAGCCCTTGTGATAATGTACCACGGTGCTGTCCGGCGAACTTACATTTGCGCCCTGCGTCTTCCCCTTGTTGCCACCGGTCCGACGCGGCCTATAATTAGCACTTGCCCACGTGAAAAGCATTTGATATCAAGGATGAGCTCGTGGGATACTGTATCAGATGGATCTTGGGCTACTAGGCAGTCGGTTCCAAAAATAGTCGCTCCCCAACACCCTTGCAACCCTCCAATCATGTCTCCGTCGAGCCTGCCGTCGTCGCCGTCTTCTGCTCGTCGTCGTAGTCACACAGCCACGCCATCAGCAGAACCCTCTGAGCAATTCCAACGGCAGATCCCCTACAAATATACCGTGGACAAGAATGCCGTAGTTTACGGCCCTGGGATGGTTGAAGTCAAGGACGGTGCCGGGGAAGAATCACAGGCTACTGTCATCGAGCACAATGGCTCCCCGGTGGCAGTAAGACGTTGGCTGCCTGCCATGGAGCCTCGAGTATCGCCCAGGGGTCCTGCCAACCCGTTCAGGACGGATGAACATCTCAGGGCGGTAGCTCGATATCCCTTGGGTCCCGAGGGACCCAAGCTACGGCAGCGGCCACACCACCATCACCACCATCACCATCACCACAACCACCACTCTCCACGGCGGCAACATCGTCCCGAAGAACACCCGATAGCCCCACCAACTCCGGCCACTCGACCCTCCCTGGCGGCACCATCCTTCACGGTGGCTACACCCTATGGGTTCTTGGGAGCTGGGCGGCCGAACCACCCTCTCAGTGGGCACCAGGGGGTAAGGCGAGGCTCGCAAATAGCGGCGGGTTCGGGCGTGCACCCGGGCCAGCCAGCCTTCGATGGCGGCGGTGGGCTCGGGGTCGCGAGCCAGCCACTGGCCGGCCAGGAGGAGGAGGAGCGGCAACGACAGCAACAGCAGTAGCAGCAGCAGCAGCAGCTACAGCTACCGTAACCACCACCTACAAGTCTGTCGCCGTTCCCGTCTTCGCCCTCCTCTTCTTCCTCATCTTCAAAATCGTCCGCACTCCCACGTCTTTTGTGTCTGTCTTCGTCTTGTGTCTGTCGTTGTCTTGTGTGTCTCTCGACATCTAGTTCGACTGTCGTTACCATGTTGTTCTCCGGTTTGCGCAAGAACCGCTCGGGCCTGTTGGGTGGTGCAGTCCCCCTCGCGGCGGGCCAGATATGCGCGTACGTCATGTCATGAGACGTGTGTGTGCAAGAAGGAGAATGAGAAGCATTAGGAGAATGAGAAGACGTCTGTGTCTTGGATGTGTTCGCTTAGCTAGACTCGAAATTGACCTTTGCTTCCAGGCACACCACCCTGTCCTTCAACAAAGTGATGATCATGGGACACCATACGGTCACGCGCTGCAACCAGTGCTGACGATATTGCTCGATTGCTCTCCCGAATGAAAAGCTCAACTTTCACTGGTGCCTTCGGCTTGGGACATCAGCTTTAATAACGCCTACTGGTCACAGTCTCAAGCGAGGACTCGGGACTGCGATTCTCGAAGCCCGCCACCACAGGCCAGCGAACACGGGCAAGCGATCTGCTTTCTTTCAAGACCAACCCGACAAACAGATTCAGCACGTCGAGGCTGGTGTAGAAGAATGGGTTTCCCATCTTTTCATTTCAAGGTTGAGTGGTTGACTCTGTGCTGTCAATGTAGCAATTTGGCCGTTCCCCCGGCGGTGTGATCCGCCCTCCCAAATCACCACCCCTGCGCCCTGCGCACCCAGTAAATCGGCGGCGCAATAGGGCTGACCATGCCCTGTCGTGTCACACCAAATCGAAAGGGACCGCGCAGGCAGGAAGCCGACTGCTTCTGCATCATCAATGTCACCTGTGACTTCAAAGACCTCACACGAGCGAGGAGTTGGACCGGCTTGGTCTCGCTTGAGTCCATGAAAACTGGAGGCACCACTGGGTCCGGCGATAAGGCAGATAGATAGTAGCTCGCACTTATCTGAGATTGCAAGGCCGGAGCCCTGGCAATAACAGATGTCGGACTTCGCAGTTCTCTATTGTGCGAAGCTGGACCATTATGTATGGCGTCACCACTTTTGGATAGGGCTGTTTCATTCCGCGCTTGTAACAACCCCTGGATAGGACCGCTTTGACAGTATACGATGATCAGATGGCATATAACCAAGCATTCCCACACACACCGGATGCTTGCTCGCTGAAACACGTGCATGTGAGAGGCCTAGGCACATCGTACCTGTGATCAGATCCAGGTAGGTATTAAACGTTATCAGATCATACCTTACTGTAGCTAGCTGCGCATAGGGACGATACACCTTGACAGCTTCCTCAAGCGACCTAGTTTATACCGGCATCATATCTTTACATACTCCGTGCTTCTACGGTCAAACCCTCCATGGCCTCACTTTCATAGCCGTTAAACTTCAGCCTGCAGATACCACGCCTCAACCACCGCAGCCAAACTCTATCCCCTCCCACGGCCGCCACCTCACACCTCGCGCCTCTTATACTCTCAGCCCTCAACCTTATCTCACCGTACCTTACTTAGCTCACGGGCTCACCTCCGCAAGCAAGCATGACGCTCCTCCAAAAGCTCCTCCACCTAACCGACTTCCGCAACCCCTTCCTGCGCACCCTCGTCCCCTCTGTCGCCGCCGCCTTCGCCATCCAAACAGTAGTAGCGCTCCCCTCCATCGCCCTACAATCAGAACGCCTCTACGACGCCTCAGGCTCGGCCACCTTTCTGGCGGTATCACTACTATCACTGTACCTCCCCGGCGCGCGCAGCAAAGTCGCCGCCTCGGTCGCCAGCTCCGGCCCCGGCGTGTATGGGGTTCTGAGCAGGTGGTGGCCGAGCCTGCTGGCGCCGTTTGCGCGGGGCGCGGGGAGGGCTGTGGTGTTGAATTGGCGGAGCGTGGCTATGACTGCTGCGGTGGGGGTTTGGAGTGTGCGGTGTATGTACCTACCTATCCTCCCAACTCCAACTCCCTTTGCTCAAAGGGCCCGGTATAGGCTTGATATGGGTCGCGAACGCGGTTCTATCTTTCGTCTCGTGTGACTTAGTCACTAACACCAACCACAGTAGGATCCTACCTCCTAAGCCGCATCCTGTCCTCAGGCCACGACTCGCGCTTCGACTCGATTCGGAAATCGCCGCCCAAGTTCGCGGCGGCGTGGCTGGGCCAGGCGACGTGGGTGTCGCAGTGCCTGATGCCCGTCGTCGCCGTCAACTCGGTCCCGGCCCTCGCCTTCGCCGCGCTGCCCGCCGTCCTGGCCACCGACGTCCTCGGGATCGCCTTGTTCGTCGGCGGTTTTGGATTCGAGATCGCCGCGGACCGTCAGAAGAGTAGGTGGTTGAGAGAGAGGCGGGAGAAATCGCATGAGGAGGACTTCCTGACGAAGGGACTGTGGAGTCGGAGGTGAGTCTCTTTTCTATGGGATTTTGCTGGATCTCCGTGAGTGAGATGTGCCGAACTGACGTATGCGTGTCCAGTCAATATCCCAATTACTTCGGCGAGTGTATGCTGTGGACCGGAATTGCGACAATGGCGGCCGGGGTGCTGATGACGAACCCCGTCCAGGTCGGGTTTGGTCTTTCTGGTGGGTTGTCAGGCAGTCTACTTGCCTTGGGGCTCTCGTATGCGAGTCCAGCCTTTACATCGTTTCTGCTGTTGAAGGTTACAGGTATACCCATGAGCGAGAAGAAGTATGACAAGCGGTATGGGGATCGTAAGGATTATCTGGTGTGGAAGCAGAACACACCCAAGTTCTTCCCGAAGATCACTTGAATAGTAAAAAAACTGAAAAATTTCCACTCAAAAACGACCGGCGGATATGTGCATCAGGTAACATTTGATGAATGTACATTCATGTTGAGGATACTTAGATACTGAAGTTTGCAGGGAACATACCGAACCCGTCGTAATCATAATGCGTTCATACGCCTCCTGCGGACACCTTATCAGGGTATCTGGGCCAAAGCGATTCCATCCAAGCAATGTTGGTAGACAGACCTCGAAAGCTATCAAATTCACTTGTGGAAGCTCTTCAGCTTCTCCATTTCGTCGTAGCTGCCCATGAAGATACCGGATTTGTCGTGGATATCTTCGGGCACGACGTCCAGCATGCGTGCCATCTTGCTGTTCACAGCCTGTCCACCAGCTAAAGAATGCGTCAGCACCAAACAAGTCATTCAAACTTCTGCAACGGGTTTAGTACTAACCATTCTCGAAAACCATTGCCATTGGAGCACACTCGTACAGAATCCGCAGTTTGCCCTTGGGGTTCTGCTTGTCCGCAGGGTAGGCGAAGATACCACCGTACAACAGCGTTCGGTAGGCATCAGCAACCATGCTGCCGATATATCTGGCACTGTAGGGCTTTCCGTTGCTCTGGGCCTGCTTTAGAGATTCGAAGTACTTCTTTGTAGAGTCCTCCCAGAACAGCGAGTTACCCTCGTTCACCGAGTAGATAGCCCGTGTCTTTGGCATCCTCATGTTAGGGTGTGTCAGGATGAACTCTCCGAAAGAGTTGTCCAGGGTGAAGCCATCGACGGTACCGCCCTTCATGGTGATGACTAGTTGCGCCGAAGCACCGTACATGGTGAATCCGGCCGCCAGGAGTTCGCTACCGGGTTTCAGGATATCCGCCTTCGTACCAGTGGAGCCTTCGGGGAGCTTGTGAATACCGAAGATGGTTCCGACTGACACACCAGCGTCCAAGTTGGAACTGCCGTCGATGGGATCGCAAGCCACAGCATACCGTGCTCCCTTCTGGTCCTTGAAGTATATGATCTCTTCCTCCTCTTCTGATACCAGCAAGGCGCACTTCCCCGACGACTTCATGGCTGCGATGAACAGGTCGTTTCCAATCACGTCCAGCTTCTTCTGGTCGTCGCCAGTCGCGTTGGACTGGCCTGCTAGACCCGTCAGGTTGACGAGTGTCGCTCGGCGGATGTAGTAGGAGATGGCTTTGAAGGAGAATTGCAGAGCGTGGCACAGTAGTCTGACAGCATTGCGCGTTAGCGTCAACCAATCCAAAAGGATCGCAGCGGTTCAGAGCGAGACTTACGTGAAGTCACCAGTGGCCTCCTTGTGTTTCGCTTGCTCTTCCGTCAAGAAGCGAGTCAAGGTGACGATGTCGGTGTTGACACTAGCCGACTCGGCCGGGGGGTTTTCGTTGGATGCCATTATGTCAGGTGAGGTAAAGCGTACTCGAATCAGATATGTCGAGGAACAGATGGAAAACACGAAGTACCGGTAGGACGTTTGAATGGGAGGTGGTGTTGCTTGTGAAAGAGAGAGAAGGAGGGGGAGGGGTTGTAGGTAAGTAGTCTGTGACTAACAAACTAAATTGCCAGTGGGTATAGAAAGACGTAAGAGGACAAGACAGATGGAGACCCGATTGGTCTGTTGTGGGAAGTGCTTGGTAGGAGATAGGAAGGTCGAAAGTTGGTGAAGCGGATGGTTTGACGATGTGCCGAGGGAACAGCTGGGAGTTTATGAAGGCAGACGAGCTCCTCGCTCATCCCCACACCCTCAATCCTTCTGCCTACCTCTCTATCAACGTACCTGACTGGTGATCTGTCACTCTACCCGAGCTCCAACTCAAGGCTCGTGGCATGCTAGGCAAGGCGGCCTGACAGCCCTAGGCGGGTAGCACAGGAACACGCACGAGAATGACACGCAGGCTCCATGCCGACGTCAATTCAGGACTGCAGGCCCCAGAGGGCTCCATAGCCGGTCGAGGGGAATTGTGGATGGGTTGGGATGGTGGGGGGGACATGCTGGAAATGGGATTTCCCGGGTTATGTCATTTTGAGCCGCCTGTGATTGTGCCGAGGGTCACAGGGCGGGAGATCTCGGTGTATGGCTCGGATACGTCACAGTGTGGGTGCTTGTGGTGATCGTGTGACGGGAGCTTTGAGCTTTCAGCGCCTGGAGATCGTTGATCTATCTGCCTGCCTGCCACTACTACCTTACCACAGTAGAGTGACAAATGGAATGACGGTTCCGGACGACCTACTTGCTCCGTGATCTATCCAGTCTTGCCAGTGAAACGTTGAAACCCGGCTGGAGGGATGAGGTAAACCAAACTTGATAAAGTCAGACCGTGGAGCTTCTCGACCACGAGTTGGTTGGAGGAGTTGGAGGAGCAGAGGAGCTCAAGGTGGGAGGAAATTGGTGGGGTTAGCAGCTTGAAGGTGGGGATTCTGGTGGGGGTTTTGGTGGGGGTAAACGTCACACTTGAGGTGACACTGGGACCCGTGGACCAAAGCAGAGCACTGAGCCTCTCCAGCCACACAATGCCACAGCTCGGAGCAAAGTGATTTCTGGCTCCGACCCTGCCGGCATGAGGTAGGGTCTTGCTTCCACCAGGTGGCCCAAGCTTCTCAGTGGATAAGTTCGAAATTTTTATCCTTCGTCAATTCGTGATCCTCGCAGATTCTACACACCACATCCAGCGCGAACAAATTCGCAACGCGCCTATTCCTGTAAGTTCTTGCATCTCCAGTACGCCCAATCCCCTTCTATGATGACACCTTGTAAACCGCAAACTAGAGTCTTTGACCTTTTATGGAATGAAACCGTTTTTACACGTCAGTCTGAGCACGCAACATGGACATCGCATTTTCTCGCCAAGCACAGGGCGCACATGATGCTAACCGTCAACCAGTTCTAGGACCTCCTCCACGGTGCATTGCTCTACCTGGCGCATACAATGTCAGGTGGCCGTTCGCGGCACGTCAGTGCGACTGGTGCTGACGTGATGAGGTGTCGCGATGCCACCGGTATGTATCCATGTTCTCCCATCCCACTTCCAACCTTTTCATGATGATCATTTTCTATGCATTGCATAGCTGGAAATTACCGACTGAGGCATCTGCCCCTGACGATAAAACATGGCTGTTTCTGATATTCCATTCCCAACTTTCGGTGTTGCAACTTTGGCCATTTGCATATGCTAATCGCCTCTGAAGTTGATATCTAGTATCGCGATCCCCAATGCAATGGTATGCGAACCCTCCAACCCCCAAGATACTGCATTCCGACATGATGAAGTGGCACTGGGCTCCGAAAATATATCACATATATCCCATGAGTCGATACGCCATTTTGCGGCAGGCCTAGAAAACCTCGCCCACTGATCACAACCTCAACATCCTCGATTTCCGGTCTATGGCGAGTCACCCTTCACTAACACCGAACTTTGCGGAACAGACTCTTGTTGGCACAGCAATATGGCCTTTCCGAGGTCGCCGCCTGTCAATGGTTGAACACAACGTATTGTTACCTTGGAACACTGCCCTGGACATTGACCTTGGTTAGTATCCTACATGGTTCGGTGAGTCTTGACACTTTCCTGATTATCTTCCCCCAAGTTGTACCTGATGAACACAGATGACGAGTCTGATTCGGCTTACCGTTGTAGACAACCTATTTACCTACCATTCATGCCTTTTCTGATACCATGCCCTCCCCCTACTTTCTCCCTTACATGGTTCACGACAACGTGCTGACTGTGTCTAGCCTCGCAGGGTTTCCGTCCCACGATACCGCAACATGTGCTGTAGCTTGTCCTCACTGGTAAGTCTACTTTCACTCACCTTGGGGAGGTATCAGCAGTGCAATATGATGATCCGACAAAAAATTGACAAGCATATGTCAGAGCTTCACGGCGTTGAAGATAACAGTCATGTCTGATTGCATCGAGTTGATATCTCCCTAGCTTCGCGCTCGAATCGCGATTCTTGCTAACGGACATCTCAGCTCTCTACGGATCATGCTCCAAGTTCGGTCGGTACCTGGCATCCATTCACATGAGGTAAGACTTGAATTCCTTCGATGTTTCTCACACCCTCAAATGATGATCATATTTATCACGACGGTCAACATAGCTCGACAGCTTTGATGATATTGCCTTTGACAAGGCTTCTGTATCTGATATGGAATTATATGATCTGGTCGTTGCCCATGCTCGAGGAGAACGAAGCTAACCAAGACTCAGATTCAGGTACGACCATATCAGCCGCGCTGACAAGCTTTCTGAGGCTTGCCTTTCCCGATTCAGGTGAGTCCATGGTCATTATGAGGATCAATGCGTGATATACGGCCGTGCTTGCTGTCTAGGCTGGTTGGCACCGTAGTCATCCACTTGATGCCCTTCAACGAGCTTTCCTCATTGAGAGGGCACGAGTGCTGCCAACCTCCCTTGGCCATCCATGTCCGATGCTGTGTTGGATTGGTGTTGCTAGTCATTCCCCTTGTAGGCTTATTGTGCTGCGTGATCAATTGTTTTGACAGTCGTAAATGAATAAACACACCACCTCAGATGAAACTTGAAACGCCATAGTGTGAAATCGCTTCACGTGACTAAGGGTTTCTGGACTCGTGGAACTTTTGCATTTGAATGGTCACTTAAAGCCTGGCTGATGCTCGACGGACACCTGGTGAAGCTTGTATCCTTTATAGCGTCATTTCCGATACTGTTTTATTGCTGACCTCAAGTCGTAGGGGGGACCGATGACTTCCCATGCCATCCTCAAGGTGAATCACGCGTTGTCTTTCCGGTGCAAACCAAGCTCTTCACCCCTTCAACATTCCCGAGCTAACCGTCAGTTATCTCCCTCTAATCCAAGCATATCATTATCAGGAACATACTGGTCAACGTGAAACCGCTGGCGGGCCTCCCGATTTCGATCATGAAGAGCTACACGCTATGACAACCAAGTCCGCCACCCCATTCGGGTGCTTAGCATACGCGGAGTGACCGCATTCTAACACCTCCACAGCAACAGTCGCCCCAGCCTCCCTCACATTCTCCGTGAATATATCCTGATACTGTGGCGGCACGCACCGATTCTCGGTAGTGCGCACATAACTTATGTGCTCGGGATGTGCCTCCACCCCTTCATGAACCGCCTCGCCAGAGGCACACGCCATATGATGCGGCACGATCAGGTTATTCTGCTCGAGCTGGTCCTCCGGATCCAGGTCCTGCCTGGTACATGGCCCAGACGGCGTCATTGGGCAGCCACGTGCCGTCCTCGGTGATGGTCACGAGCGGCGTGCTCTGCCCCACAGCCCGGACCGCGCGATGATCTTCCGGATGCTCTGGCCCGCGGCCAGGAGGTACGCGCACAGGTAGAACAGGTGCACGACGCCGCCGGGCTGGCCCTGGGCTGCCCGGCCCTGGCGCGTCAGGCTCTCGACCGCGGCTGTGCCGACGGCGCCGCCGTAGGAGTGCATCAGCATGAGCACCACGTTGCCGGCGCTGACGCTTCGTAGGATGAGTTTGGAGGCCGCGCCCCGTTGTTGGTCGGGACTGCTGGGACGTGCACTGTGAGCCTGGCCTCTAGGGCGCTGACCAGCTTGCGGTATGCAGCGGGTTGCGTCCAGGCGCCGGGGGTCAGGACGATGGTTGGCAGTTGGGACGGCGTCTTGACTGGGGTGCAGTGGGAAATGAGATGCGAAGTTTTCGGAGCACCGAATCACTTCTCAGCTGTCCAAGAGGAGTACGAGTGCGTTGGTCTGGACTCTTGAGTGCATTGAGGTGAGGTGAGGCTGTCACTGTCAGCAGCATCGCTCCAAGGCGTCGATATGGCATTGCATTGTCAGCCGGATCGCGGAACGCTATCAAGCCAAGTCGGCGATTTATATCTGGTTACCAAACTGATCGACCGCAGGAGAAGAGCCATACCCAAATGCTCTAACATACAACGAAAGGCGGAGCGAGATCCAACTGAACCTAAGAAGTTTTCCAACGCAGAGATCTATTCAATCGAAAACATTTCAACTCTCCGTGATACGTTTCAGACACTTCTTACGCCTCTCACAACGTCTAAAGAACTCGCTACGTAAACACCATTGAATTCACAAAGTGCGCTCAAAGCATCCCGTCTCTATGAACAGATCTCATACTCCGCATCACAAGGCCAGAAATCACCCTGCTTCGGCAACTGCACCGAGCTCGGCAGCGTGTTTTGCTGCCTAATCTCGGTGATCCACCTCCTATTATCAATCTCCTCGACGAGGAAATAGCCACCAACAGGCGCCTGCGACGTCACCCCGCTCTTCAAAACTCCCCCATTGAACCCCTGCGTGTTCACAACACCGCCGCGGCTCGTGGCGTCCCAGGAGTCGGGCAAGGCGACGTAGTAATCCCGCCACTGCTGGAACTCGGCATAGTGGGCGCCAATGGCGGCCCTGAGGCCCCGAGGCCCGTGTACATGGTTCGGAACGAGTCGTAGTTGTAGCGCGTGCCGTTGAAGGAGTCGCGGAGGCTGGGGTGGTAGGTTTGGTTGTAGCCGGTCACCCAGTCCGTGTTGTTGGGGTCTGAGGTTCGGGGATAGGGTAGAGTGCTGCGGGACGTCTGGAATCAGCCAACTGCTACTAGAAAGGGGGGATGTATTCAAAAGGGGAGACGGGGATGAATGCTTACAGAGAATACCGCACTCAACCCAGGCTGCCAGCTGGACATTCCTTGCTTTAGTTGCGCCTTCAGCGTCTGCACACGCCGTGTCCGCATCGATCTTGACGCGCGCGGCAGCTGCTTGGCTAGAAAAGGGTCGGCTGGCACGCTGGGACGATAAGGAGTTGTGGCTGTCACTGCGGTGGACAGAACGCCTACAGCGCCTTGGGGGAGAAGTTAGCATTTCGTTTGTTTACAAACAGAAACTAGTGCAAGATGTGCGTTGGATGGGATCGAGCGAAGACTTCTTACAAAGGAGGGTAGCCCAATACATATCGACAAGGAACCGAGGAAGGAGTGTGAACTTGATTTAAGAAAAGATACTCTGGAGCTTTTGAAAAGAAAAACAAGAGCCGTATTTATAGCCTTAGATAAGTGAACGTAGTCATGGCGATTGGTCAGAGGAATGTTAAGTGCATCGCGTAAAGTATCACTGACTCCAGGCTTCTTAGTCATTTTCAGCAAATACGCCTTAGCTTATTCCTCTGACTCAGTATAGATAATACCGGCGTCAACGACTTGCGTCTGGCCTTAGATGAGTGAATGTAACATTGCGGTGGCATGCTCCAATGCGTGATTGGCAGATCTTTCGAGATACCCCTTTTCTAGGCAACACTTTACCACTCCTCCCGCACCACCTGCTGGTAAGGCTTGCACTCCTGAGTATGATTGGCTTTAGCAATCCCCGGAAGTCTCGCTTATCAAGAAAACTGTGATTAGAGTCTTCCCCGAGTTCTGAAGCCGGTTTTGGGGGGTATTGATTTATTTATCAAGCTCTTCGACCGCAAGGGAAGAGCCAACCCCAAATGCCCTAAAATACAACAAAAAGCAAAGCCCCGTGCTGTACGTCAAGTCTAACGGAATGAACGCCGCAAATCATCCCAATCATATGGCAGAGGTGGTGCGTGAGGAGTAGTAAAGTGTTGCCTAGAAAAGGCGGTACCGGTAGTTTACGGCATACTTATCATGCGAGACGCCGGAGATGACTAGCAGGGGGGGGGGGGGAAGCATCATCAAGGAGCAAGCATACCTTCCTCTTAATGGTTCGAATACGAGGGTAGACACTTCTCAATAATACAATATTTTGAAGGCGCTTCTTTGATTGACACGTAAGGAAGATTCGTCTGGAGTCGGCTCTTTGACTGTCCTCTCATACATCTTGATGCATTTCGTATCAAGTTCTGCACTCTTCACATCTATATCAGTTCCATGGGGCCTTATCACCAACCGGCTGATCATTCTCTTCGGTTGGAGGAGGGATATCTGGGTGGGCTCGCACGACACCTACGGGCCGTCACAGTGACCCCATTATCCTGACAGAAGTTGACGAGGTCGGTCTGAGGAAGGTAACTGTGCTCTGGTCAGTCCCCAACAGCTCTTGCAGGGTGATAACGGATTGCTCACGGATGTAATTCGACTTGGTTCACTGCTGGGATGATGCGTGCTGTCGCAATGGGCTTTCTCAGCTTCAGTACATTGAAGTTAGAGACACCTGCTTGAGGTCAATACTCAGCTCCACGACCATTTCGCCTGGAAAGGGGACCTGATGGCTGACCAATTGCCTTCGCTTTTCCGCTGTCGACCAGAGCCTCCATCGCCTCCCAAGTGGCAGCGTAGTTCCTCGACAACTCATAGTCGATGGCTGGTTTTCCGTTGCCGCTGGAGTGTCGGACTGTGTTGTGGTTTTCGTCACTTTGATAAGCGTGTGGGACTGCCTTCTTCGTGAGTCACGATGTCATAACACTCCCAGTTTCTCCCACACTGCCTCTTACAGTGCATTAAGTAAAGGTCAACTAATCTCTGGGTTAGGACAAGATTCTTTCGATGTGATCTTTACTGACCATAGTCAAGCTGAAGGTCTGCAAGTGTCTCGTCGAGGGCCTGTGCAACCACGGATGGTGAATGCCACGTTTGTGCGCTCAGCCGGGTTAGTATCGTGCCATTCAATATTGGCGCATTCTCACAGCTTTGACGTGACGAATAGCTCTTCCCTGGCTACGGGACTTTCTCGGATTGATTGTCCGATCTCCTTCTCGTTGCCATAAGCCGAGGCCCCGTCGATATGCCGATAGCCAAGCCTGAGTGCTAGCTTGACAGCTTCTTTCACTCTGGAGTTGCCTTCATCACCTTGGAAGGTACCGATGCAGAGGCTCTGGGAGGCGTGGTTTGCACTACTGAGGAGCGATCGCCCACGTTAAATACAATCAATCAAACCTTGGAAGGTACCGTGACCAATGTTAGGTACTTTGGTACCGTTGTTCAGTGTACCGTATTGAGCCAATGTCATCGTGGGATAGTTCTGGATGACACAAGATGGGATCATGAAGAAGCATCAAGCAAATACGGTTAACATTACGACCCCCATTTCCAACTTCTTCGCCTTGCGGCTCCGGGTTCGGTGCTTCGGGGCTACTGTGGCCGATGTGTAATACGACGTCGGACTCTGGCCCCCAAGGACTGGGCACGCTGGGATGGGTCATCCTTCCTATCAACGCTTGCAAACCGCTCTTGTCATTGTGGGTCGCTGCAACAGTCGTCACAATAACCGCCAGCCTGCTGAGCCGAGGTAGCTAGAATCATCCCAAAACAGACGGCTTGGTGCGCTCCAGATGCAAGTCAGGATACACAATACGGTGTGATTACCCCGCTGCGAGGTCAAGGCTAGTCTGATACCTATCTCCAGCCGACTGTTGGCGGCATGCGTTTGAGGCGGTACGGCGATGCAAGATAGTAACCTGAGCTGAGGATGCCGAGCCGGATTTCTTATATTTACCCGTCCACTTTAGCCACATATCCTTCAGGAAATTTCGGGATCAATATTCTCATCTCATCCATGACCCTATAATATAGTGAGAAGTTCGTTGCAGCAAGTTGGAATTGTGGAACTCACATGTCTAGATATGTCGTGTCGGTAGGGAACAGTGTAGCCGCGTTGAGATTGAAACGCCTTGAAAAATCAGCAGAGGCATGATTCGTGATGCAGTCCATCTTACATGGCGTAAAGAGCATTTCTATCATCCGCATCTTCCTTTGGCGCTGCTTCAGGGAAAAAGTCATGGTAGGCATCGAAGTAGTCCTCAGAGAATTTGTTCCGCTTTGGTCGCCAGTTGCCCAGCTCGTCTTTCTCGGTCAGCAAAGTCAAAGAATATGGGGGATCTATACAACACACGCACACTCATTATGAGCCCAGAAGCTGGCGGGATCATACACGACCGAATCTCCTTTGTTCTTGGCTATGATGGCAGCATTGCCGCACCAAAGGTCGCCGTGAACCAGTGAAGGTTTGATCGTATTTCCTCCTGTCTCTAAAGGACGGAGAAGTCTGGGAATGACCTTCTCGAACATAACCGGTAGCAGCTCATCCAATTCGGCGCAGGGTCCAGCTCGTTCTTGACGCACATTCAATACATGCCTTAGGGCATTAGCGAAGAAACCCTCCCAGCTATCGCACCATGTGTTGTCTTGGGGCAAGTACCCGTTGTAGGTGGTGACATGAAACCCGAGCATGCCGTTTGAGGATGTACTAAATGAGTGCAATCTGGCAAGCTTCTCACAGAAATTCAAGGGTGCAGGTAATCCTGGACGTAATTCAATGAACTCGCATAGATAGAAGTGGAAACAAGGGTCTGATGCGAACGTCCCCCAACCGGCTGGCTTTGAACAAAAGTCAGGGGTGATAGTGTAGACGGCCAGGGTCGATTCGTACTCGCCCCTCAGTGCTTCACGTCCGTGATGGCCGCGCGATTTCTACCACTATTAGTATTTTCCTGCCGAGCATATCCGATCTTTCTTTGTATGGTACCTTGATGAAGTAGCTTCTCTGGCTCTTGTCTTTCTGCACAACATTGAGCCGTGATGAGAGCGCCCACCGTGAGTGAAACACCTTTTCGACACCTATAATCTCCTCAGTGTTGTCGAGAACTATGGAATTGGCGGCTTAGTATATGGCCTGCCATGGAGACTTCACACCGCGCTCACCTTCGAGCACCTTCGCATCTTGGAACCATGTGACATCGCACTGGACTTGGCTTTCCATGATACCCGGCAAGTGACTCTGATACCGTTCGTGCGATAGGGTAGCTGAAAAGACGCCAGACAACAGCTTCTAGCTGTGTGACATCAGGAGTAAATTTAGAATGCAACGAACGTTCAGTGACACGCGCTGACCAGTGTGACTCGCCTACCGCACAGCATCGGTCGCGTACCTGGCTACCGACTCCCCGCACCGTTGGCTGCGCAATGCTGGTCCCTGACCAGCCAGTTAGGAGCTGCAGCGATGATCCTGGCGGTTAAACCATGAGGCCGAAAGGCCGGGAGGTAAGCGGGATGAAGCTCATCATGGCGCTTGGTCTGAGGAGTGTCAAGTGCATTGCCTCTACTAACGTTACTGCTGACTTCAGGCTTCTTAGTCATTCTCACTAGATACGCCTTAGTTCATTTCCCTGACTAGGTATAGATGATACCGCCATCGACTACCTGCGTCTGACCAGTGACGAAGTCACTATCGCTGCTCGCCAGAAAACTGACCAGCTTGGCCACATCCTCAGACACACTCACCCTTCCTAGAGCCGTCTGCTCATGCACCATCTTCTTAATGACTTCTCCCTTCCGCATACCCTTCTTCTCGGCCATCTGAGCATCAATAAGCTCCCACATAGCTGTGCCCACGATGCCAGGGGCGTAGGCATTGACGGTGATGTTGTGTTCAGCTAGCTCCATAGCGTAAGCCTGCGTCAGGCCGCGGACTGCCCACTTGCTCGCGCTGTAGTGCGACAGCAGTGGGAAGGGCTTGAATGCGACGATCGACGCAGCGGATATCAGCTTGCCCGGTCGGTCCGGGACGCAGTTGCCTTGGCTGATCATCTGCTTGGCTGCTTCGGCGAAGCAGTTCTGCACGCCGAAGACGTTGACTTCGAACATGTGCCTGAAGTCTTGCTCGGTCAGGTCAAGGAGCGCCTTAACCTGGGCGATCCCGGCATTGGCGACCCTGGTGCGTGTCAGCCGGCATGTTTGAGATACACTTGATAGAGGGTGCTTCAGCCAGCGTTCACCTGGGGGTGTTTGCTTACATCGTGTTCAGGGGCCCAAGTTCATCGACACTGGTCTGCACAATGTCCTTGACTTCATCCCTCTTCGAGACATCCGCGATGGCAATGCAGGCCTTTCTTCCCTTGCTTCGGATCTCTTCCGCCACTTCGTCGCAGCCGGCTTGATTGGCGCTTATGTCGTTGACGCATATGTTGTACCCGTCAGCGGCCAGTCGTAGTGCTACCGCTTTCCCGATTCCCCGGCTTGAGCCTGTGACAATCGCGTTCCTGTCTGCACTAGACTTTCCGGCAAGCGAAGAGTAGCTTGCTCCGACTCTGCGCCTATTGAAAAATCGGGCGCTTGTCGAGGCGGCCAGTGATAATGATCTGACCCCATGACGGCATTGCGACCTTGCTAAATCTGCTACGCGCTTGCTGAGAAACACCATTGTACTTCCGTGGAAAAACGTGTCTTAAGAGCAATTCGTGTATTGAAGAGTCCACTGTGAATCATGATGCCATCTCGGTGAGTTCCCCGCACCCTCCTCGCACACAGGGGGCGGGCGAAGGGGCTGTGGATCCAGTGCATGGACCCATATGGAGTATTCTGGTAACCCCACCAGATATGTTGGAGGTTACCTGATGAAGGCTGCCTGGCAACCCTTTGTTGCCCCAGGTACCTCACCACTGTAATTTAGGTATTTAGATACATCTCGGATGGAATCCTTTCCATCCGACCTGTTAATCAAGCACCACCCAGACAACTGATAGATTACAACAAGACTTGTGATTTATCAGCATCTGGGAAAGCTACCAAAAGGCACAGGGCCGCCACTCGTGCCACCTCGGCACATCTTCAAATCATAATAGTGAAACTCGGGAGAAACTGCCCGGTCTTGGAGAAGCCACTACATACTCTTCCATCTCTTATGCCTGGTTAATAACCATGTGCCAGTGTGGTTGTTCTCTTCGTAACTGGAGAGCGGTTCCCTATCATTAGAGCGGGGCACTAGTAGAGGAAGTCACAGTCTATATACGGTTGACAGTCGGTTGACGATCGGTTGAGATATCAACCCAGGTTATGCAATACAGTGCAGGTTCGAGAGGTTATATTCTAGCCTGGTTATGACAAATACAGCTGGCAAGTAACGGCTGGCAATCAATGCTCGCCGGTCTCCCCATTGTGCTGTCACTCAGCAACGAAAGTGCTTCGATGAGTGGGTGGTGCGGCAGAACAATGAACCCTTACGGTACGAGTTTAGCCTCATCACTGAGCCCCAGCCACCTTCTCCAAACCATGCGCTGCCGTACCCGAGTGTATCAGCATTAGGAGACTCCGCATACAAAAATGTGTTCTGGTCTGTCCAACGTAGATGGGTACCTATCCAGCAGAAGACTACCTTGACGATGCAGTGCTTCCACCTTGAACGCTCTCGACGGTTTCCAGAGCCTTGGATCCACAGAAATACACTGTGCTGAAGTAGATTGATGAAATGCCATTCCCTACTCATGCATAAAGAGTTTACTACATATCCAAGATATAAAGTGCCGATCAGGACAAAGAATAAGGTGTTAAAATCACAACTCCATAGCTTCCCCCGAGATTCCTCCCATGGCGGCTACCGCGTGATGTTTGTTTGTTTTGTATTTAACGTGGGGGGTAGCTCCTCAGTAGTGCAAACCACGCCTCCCAGAGCCTCTGTATCGCAGGGTTGTGGAGGTCTCAAGATAATAAGTACAGTCAGTCCCGCTCACGGCGAATCGTTTGTCGTAGTAGAACTCCGTATCAACATGTCCAGGCGATGCTACACATATCAGCAGCTCGCTCGTAACGATTCTGGTAGATTGTAGATGACTCACTCAACCATTCTGGGGCCGACTGTGCAAGGTCAAGTCCTTGCTGGTTCTTTTGCGCTTCTCCGCCCCAAGCATAACATACGATGCCCACGCCAACTAGAACTCCGAAAAAAAGCGGTAGCCATACCCTGGCGTCAGACCTTCTGGTACTAGACAGAAGTCTATTGAGTCGACTGCTTCTCGGAGCTGGACTCGTATGGTCATCCCCGTAGTCACCGTCTCCTGCCAGGAGCTGATACTCATTCGACTGACTCATTGTGTGAGGGTGTGACGGTCCGCTGAGACGAGTGACTAACAATGACTGCGGAATGAAACCGGTACGCCTGAAGTGCCCAGTTTACCAAAAAGCCCATTTCCGCTGCCCTAGACAACTCTGAGGGGCTGGAAGAGTCAGAGGGGGGAACGAAACCGCTATTCGGGCGGAACAGGATGCATCCGAAGGGGATCGTCGGAAGGACCGAAGCCTCCACGCTCCAGACACTACCCACTGCATGGGTGAAAGAATGACAGGATGTTGGATGGCTCGAATGTAACAGCAAGCAGCAGACGCGAGGTTTAATCAATAAGCAACACCTTCCATTCTAGTCTTTGCCGTGGTGGTATACGCCAGGAAGATAGGAACGGTGGTCCGGGTCAAAGCTGGAAGGGTAGCAACATGTTGAGAACTCTGGTGTCATAGCTTCAATACCACATGAAATGTGATGGTGACAAGGGAGCTTATAGGTTCGTGCCAGCCGTCTTGTTGGTTTACGTGCAGTTCGACGTCGCATTCGCAGCAGGCTCGGCGAGTTCGAAACGCACTGGTAAGGCCATTTTGCGACCTGGCTCACAGCTCCAATGCTACCATAGGCAGGCTGAGCGGAAACCAGGCGCGATAGGATAACAGCAAGAGACTTGCTGCAATGTATGCCAGTACAATGCGAGCGTTCCTTTCTTGAGAACAGTTGGAAATGCAAGCGATCGACTGTAACACTTCAAGTTCAGACAGCATCCGTGGTTCGCCAGCCATAGTTACTGCAAGGAGTAGCGGATAGGGTTCCGTGTGTTTTCGTGATAGCATCACAAAGTAACATCGCCCATACATGGTATTGGCGGCTGGGGTCTGAAAGAAGTGACTTCTGGACTGAGATGGCGGGTGACATCCATTGGGCGTTGCCGCACTGTTTCTGTGACCACCCGCACAAACGATAGCACAACTGCAGTGGTTCATCATCAGACCTTGATCTGGAGTTGCACATGAATCCGAGGGTTTGAAGTGCCAATCCCTCACGTAAGAGACCGTTGCCTACTTGAGCCTGCCCCGTAACCGCTGTGAGCAACTCTTGTCGTTAGATGACATCCCGCACTCATCTTGATCATACGAAACTTTAGATACTTACCAAGACACCTAATCGCTCATAGCCCCATCCGACAATGCAATACTCCAAGCTCCTCTTCACTGTCATGACAATGGCTACCCTTGCCTCGGCTCTGTCACCTAGAGCCTTGCGAAAAGGTAAGAGTCATGCCGTGATCCTTATATGAATGGACCAGAACGCTCTGTTCTGAGAAGCAGGAGACTGACTTCGACTTCTTTTTCAGAGCCCAACACAAAGAAACACATCGCTGACGAGGACGCTACTGGTCTCAACGACGATGACGACATTATCGCCTACGCCAACTGGCAAGACACAAACCCCCAAGAATGATCATATCAACGTCGACTGCACTCGAGGAGGGAAGATGAGGACATGGACCGGAGGAGCACAGGATAGCGAGTCAGGTCATCTCATAATGGCATCAGTCTTTGCTAGATCAATTATCATGAAGAATTTGAGCCCCACTTATGTTCTCAATTAAAATTTGCTTGTGATCTGGGCCGTTCGGTACATACCTAATGGAATTGACCGTTATCACCATGAGCTGTACCACATGAAGACATCAAGACTCTGTTGTACACTGTCGACTTAGCTTCGACACATACTCGATCGACGGACTGGCCCGTAGGGCCTCAGTCGAACCCATGTGCATAATCTCCAAGACGCAGTTGTAACCTCGGCAGATGGACTACGCAATCCCGAACAATACTCGCCAGGATCGTTGGATGTGATGATCATGCCGTGATGGTCTGCAGCTTGCATTCAGCCGGAAGCATGCAACTTGGAAAGCCTATGCGAGAATGAGCGATGCATGACGTATCAGGTCCTTGGGAAACCTCTCTCGCGCGGTACAGCGTGGTGTGTAGTAGAACAGGAAGGATTCGGTCCACCATTGGAACCGATACAGCCTGCCTTAGACCCCAGAATGTGGGTCTGCGGCTCGATCGTGTTGGTGGATGAAACGGTTCCCATTCGCTCCCCAGGATGCTACCGCAAGGACCGTACATGATGCATTGTAACCGTGGCTGGTCAGTTCGCGTTTGTTTGGTAGGGACCATGCAGGCTGTAAATATAACTCCCATGTGATGAGAATGCGTGCGTATCGATGCGACACGCATGCATCCATTGGAAAGGGGGAGGGGGTTGCACAATGTTAGCCAAGGCTCCGTGGATTTGGGGGGTAACCGCTTCCCCACTCGAAGGCATATCCAATGCTTCTCCATCCTCGACCTGCTGGACCTTCAAACGACGTTGTTGGAGGAATGGGGTTGACTTCTCACGAATATTTCACTCAATCATCGTCAGGCATCATCAACAAAAACAACTATTTTCTTGGCGCCCCGCTATTAGGGCGCAACCTCGATATCTGCGCTAAAGCAGGCACTTCTCTCAGTAAATGACTATCTTTGTCAAGGCACAAGAGAATTTTTCTCACAAGCCGGATGGTACCCTTCCACGACGGGCCCCCAAACACGCCCATGGCCGTCCCAAAGACGACCACCGGCGGCATGCTCAAATCCCCGGTCCCTAGAAAGACATACGGCCCGGCAACTCTGAGCAGGCTCCGCCAGGCGCTGCTTAACGACATCAGCAGCAGCCCGTCACAGGTCTCTGAGGCTGACTTTACCATTATTTCCCCTCTGAAAGGAAAATCCTGAAATATCAATGACAGCAGTACCACTGGAATGAAATGACCTCAATTAAACGAAATCTCGACAGACCAAGCCATTACACACGATATAGAGAATAAAGCCTCCTCCTCAGAGTGCCAGGACCAAGTTGCCAAAATACTGACTAAAGACAAACACCTCTATAAAGCCAGGATAACAATATTTCAAGAGTGTGCTGTAATAATTGATAAGACACTTAAGAAAGCTGGAACCGAACTATATTCTTATGCCAAAGAGTTCAGCGCTTTCTTTTTTAAATGTTTGAACAAGTGGCTGGAAACCCAAGATCCGCCCAAAAGAAAGACCATCCCTGGGGGGATAAGGATGGTAAAGCCCACCATGACCTTTGCCCAAGCTGTCTCCTCTAGCCAACGACAGCATCCACGGACAGTCAACACTACCATAAAGAAAACACAGCCTAGCGCCCTCATCACTGCTAACCAACTAAAAAGAAACAGGATGATCTCTAGGTCTTTGTCCGCATGGATAATAGCTACCTAGAGCCTTACGGAATAAAGTCTACACTGAACAAAAGACTTAAGCTCCACCCTTAAGAGCTTAGAGAAGTGACCCGGTGTCCCTCCGGATTTACCTTACACCCAAGGGACAAGCCAACTCAGGCTAAACTCCTGGCCTTCTAAGAAGAAATTACCGATATTCTTAAGGCAGAAAAGATTGAGACCCACACGATCTGGCATCACTATAAGGTTAATAAATGCCTAAGAAAGGTCATCAATGCAAAAGGGTTGATAATCGACATTACCGACATTGCTGTTGCTGATGAAGTTAAAGCCCAAACAGGTGACAGATCTTTAAGGTGCATACTCTCAAGGAACACAGTTGATTCTGATCCAGAGACCACATGGGTGATCTCTCTGCCCCGTGCAGCAAAGAAACCATTCACGCTTTTTGCTCACTCAATGACCTCGAGGCACATTCAATATTCCCCCAAGGTTCACCAGTGTGCGAGCTGCTTCAGATACCATAATAGGAACTACCAATATGAAAAGCAAGTATGTGCACATTGCGCCAGCACAGTACACCAGGGGGAGTGCAAAAAACCAATCCCAAACTGTGTCAATTGCAAGGGGCCTCATGCTGCCAACTTTGACAAATGTCCTGCACGCCCCAAGGTCATAAAAGGTATCATCCACAAGCACACATGGGAGCAATTCCAGGAAATAAGGCTGGCCAAAGAAAGAGCCAGATCCAAAGCCTTCAATAAAACAGGCAGAAACCAAGCTGGATTAACGCCTAGCAACAATAACAAATATACCACAATACAAATCAACACAACAAATACAACTCATCCCAGAGATGCCGACACCATTGTTGTCAGTCAATGTTAGGTACATCAAACGAAACACATTGACACGGGCATCTAGTCATCCATTCTGTGAATACAGCAGGAGGACAAAAGAGTACAGGCCCTACAGAGTTAGCCATCAACCTGGCTGACTACAAAAGAAAACAAACAGACATTATTCTGATGCAAGAGCCCTGGATTGGCATACCACTAGGCAGAAAAATGGGAATAAAGACACACCTAAATTATGATATATATTCCCCGGTTGATTCCTGGGACAGCGACAATACACAACCTAGATCTCTTATCTATGTGAGAAAATATCTTTATACAGATCAATTTTAGTCTTATGCTATACAAGATATCACTTGGGTCAAGGTACAAGGCATTACATTTGCCAGCGTCTACCGGCCATGTGACAACCCACAGGAAGTGGATGACATTCTGGAAGTATGGACTCCACCTTTTGGCTGCGCTATAGCTGGAGATTTCAATGCTGGCGACACATCCTGGGACTCGAGCAATCCAGGATATCATGGTGGTGTCATACTTGTACAGACTATGGCAGACCACAGACTGGATCTGATTTCTGAACCAGATGTTCCAACACATGATGATGGAAATGTACTAGATCTGGTGTTCTCAGATGTCCCCATGACTGAAGCCTCAGTCAATGATGCACTTCAGTGCACCTCAGATCATGAGACATTACGAATAGTCATTCCAATTCAGGGAGATCTGGACCGAGTCTCTAAGGCCAATTACTGGATAGTACCGGATGACAAACTACAAGAGCTGGCAGATAATGTCCAAACCAGGATCCATGAACTCAACCGGCTGGGTGTATCCCCTGGCCAGGTGGATACATTTACACAGAGCTTGATCAACATGATCCAAGGCTGTATCAGGACAGTGGGCAAGAAGCCCTGTCAATCTAGGCCCACTGCTTGGTGGAATGATGACTGTAAAGCAGCTATTCAGACATACAGGGCCTTGTCCAAACAGACCGCAAGCCAAGAAAGGCGGAATTCAGCCCAACGGGACTTTTGCCATGTGGTTCAGAAAGTTAGGAGAGAGTACTGGCAGACTCTAATTGATTCAGCGACTGAACCAAAGGATCTGTACAGAATCATTTCTTGGCACAAGCTGTCAGCAGGATTGTGTTCCCCTCTAATCATCATAGGAGACCAAATATTTGAGTCACAAGAGAGCAAGACAAATACACTACGCTCAGCCACGCTTGAATGAAGTACCTCAGACAACGATATCATTGACCCCTGGTCCGCTCAGATCATACAACCCAAGCCACACATCCCCCTTGAATACCATGTCGGACTGGAAGAGGCTGAAGGGTGCACTATAGGGACCAAGAGCAACTCCCCGGGAATAGATACCCTCACAGTACGGATTCTGAAAGCTTGCTGGCCAGTCATTGGGGAACATATCAGAGCCCTGTTCTAGACCTGCCTACAGATTAAACACCACCCTAAACCATTCAAAGTAGCTGAGATAGTGATGATCCCAAAACCAGGCAAGAAAGACTACTCCAATCCCAGGGCCTACAGACCAATATCGCTATTGTCATGTCTTGGCAAAGGCCTAGAACGACTCATCGCGAAAAGAATTATCTGGCTTGTTGTTAAACTTAGAATTCTAGCTCCACAACATTTTGGAGCTCTACCAAAGCGCTCTGCCACTGACCTGGTAGCTGCACTCATACACGATATTGAGCAGGCCCTCAACCAAGGCCTTGTTGCAACAGTAGTCATGTCAGATGTGAAAGGGGCCTTTGATGCTGCCCTAATGGGACGGCTGGTGGTTCGCATGAGAGAACAGGGCTGGCCAGGCTTTCTCATAAGATGGGTCCAGTCGTTCATGTCCGAGCGGTCCGCAAGAGTTCGGTTTGAAGGTACTGTGACCGATATAAAAGCTCTCACTTGTGGGCTCCCACAAGGCTCACCAGTCTCTCCAATCCTCTACATGCTGTATACAGAGCCAATCTGTGCCCGATTTGGCATGAAAAGAAGACGCTTTGGATATGCAGATAACCTAGCAACACTCTGCATTGGAAAGAACCTTGAAGAAACAGCTACAGAGGCTTCTGAAAACCTTCATTTACTCAACCAATGGGGACATAACAATGCTATTAAATTTGATCCCGACAAAACCGAGATCATGCACTTCTCACGGAAAAAGAACTCAGATAATCCCCCAGTTTGCCACGGAATAATGAACAAAACAGCTAAGCATTCCATGCGATGGCTAGGTGTCCTTCTGGATAGGAAACTAAACTTCAAAGACCATGTTTCTCACTGGGCCAAGAAAGCTAGTAGGGTAGCAAATCACCTTCGAGGACTATGCAACACAATCAAAGGACTTCCAGTAAAGTTAACCAAGAGGACTGTGAAAGCTTGTGTTATTCCTATTCTCACACATGGCCTGGAGGCCTGGTACCCAGGAATCGAGAAAGCTGGGAGCTTAGGTGAGACATCAGCATGTCGCATTAAGGGGCTTCTTGGAACAATAGATGCCGTACTACGAACGGCGATCAGGGCTATCTTGTCAGTCTGGAAAACACACCCTGGACATATCTTACACTTTGAATCGCAGATTCCCCCAGCAGGAGTTCTTGTAGAGTCAATAAGACGACGTCACGGCCTCTGACTAGGACGAATAGATCAGAGACACCCTCTGGTTGGCAGGCTCCAAATACAAGCTCGCAAGGATCCAACAAGGCTACAAAGGAGCTTCCAGCTAGTCCCTGACTTCCAGAGACCAATACTTACCAGGCCATCATGGAAGAAGCGCCCAATCCGCAAAAACAAAGACAAAGAAACAGAGCTTTTCAAGCAATGGCTACAGGAAAGAAACGTGAATACTGACCTTGTCATCTATTCAGATGGATCACAGTTGGACGACCAAGGCACAACCCGCACTGGATGGGGTTATACCATCAGGAAAGGCGGCACTACACAAGAAGTATACTGGGGAAAGGGTAGACTTCTCTAAGCAGAAGTAATAGATGCTGAAGTCCATAGTGCTCTCTAAGGTCTTGTAGCAGCCAGGGTAATTAGACACGGAAAATAGCTATATGTCTGCCTAGACAACACGTCAGTGGTAGATGGGCTCAATGGGACTCCACCCAAGACATCACAGAACATTTTCTACGATTTCAAGAACTTGCCACAGCACACACTCCTGGAGTGACCGTCAAGTGGATTCCTGGACACAGAGATATTGATGGCAACGAAGCTGTTAACACACTAGCAAAAGAGGGTGCCATGCTAGAAACAGACGCGACGCACCTGCCCACAATCTCTTGGGTAAAGAGAGATCTCAAAAAGAAGGACAAGAAAAAATTAAATCAATGATAGAAAGACCAATTAGAACCTAGGTATCAAGAAATATACTCACATACAGTAACTAAAAGGGACCTTATATCTTTTGAAAGGAGCACTCTATACAGACTTCTAGCGGCCAGATCTGGACATGGCGACTTTGCTAGATACCATGAATATTTTGGGCATACAGACTCGAATGACCACTATAGCTACAGTAAGAAGAAAACACCACAATATACTTTCTTTTGTCAGAGGCTTGGAAAAAACTGACTACTGCCCAGGTACTCGCCTAGGGCAGCATGTTTATAATACTTGGGGGAAAGGAGCACAGAATGGGCAAAATTTGTTAAGAAAAGCAAATTCTTTTCAACAATCTGCCCCCAATAGATAGCTTTTCTAGAAGGACCAGATGGATGACCCCAAGGTCATACCGCCGCAACAACGGGGATGGGCCCGTGAGCGGGACTGACTGTACTTATTATCTTGAGACCTCCACAACCCTGCGATACAGAGGCTCTGGGAGGCGTGGTTTGCACTACTGAGGAGCGATCCCCCACGTTAAATACAATCATCATCATCATCATCATCATCACCAGCGCTCGCTGCGCGAGTGCGCGCAAACGATATCAATATGCTCACGCTACTTAATGGAGGCGACCGAGAAATGGTCGAATGGGAGCGACTGTTCGCCAAGGCACATCCCGGTTTTCGTTTCCGCGGCGGGCAGCAGCCTCCAGGTTCACACATGTGGATTTTTGTAGCTGACTGGACAGTAGCTTGATCGGACGCCTTCACCACGACATTTTTATGGATCGGTATCACCCTGTGATGTGTTTCAGTCTGGCTGTGTTCCATTGCATTTATCATACCGGCCTATTATCATTGAGTTTGATGAAGTCCAACGAGACACTGCTGACAGCCGTTTCGCGTCTGCCTGCTCACAAAGTTGTATTTCCTACCTTATGTATGAGGACACGCTCCTACGAGACTAGCAGAAACTTTTTTCAATCAGATAGAAGGCGATCAAACCTCCTAAATCGAGTGCGTGTGTTGAATGACACTTTACAATCTCGCGCCTGACAGCTTCTCTCACATTGCCGAAGAACCGGACAACCAGGGACCTCAGAGTGAAGCAGCCATGAAACATCGCATTTGGGATGACATTCCCCCTGGAAGCTGGTCACCAGGCCCTGGGACCCTAGTATAAGTCACCAATGTATCGACAAAGTGCCAATCCTTGTAGGTTCTATCTATGCTGTAGCCTTGTCTTAAAAAGACTTCCCACTCCGAAGCTTCCAACCAGCGACGGCATCTGCATCACTCCATTATATGTCTCATAGTAAGCTCACGAAATACGTGAGCCATCACCTGCTAGTTAAATGCTGGCCCTAGGCTATCGCGTTGCAGAAGTGGCTACCTTCTAGGGGGCTGGGTGGGTATGGATGCGGAAGACACGCGTCCCACAGCGATGTCGGCACGCAACAATGCTAAGCAACATGATCGTGTGTCTTGTTGTTATCTTTGAGTTCATAGAGGGGCGAGAGCCACCTTGTCCCCGAGTACCACGTCTGGCGGGGCTGACGGATTCCGCCGCCTCTTTCTTGCTGTGTGGGAAGTCAAAGGCTACGCAGCATCAATGACGATATCAAAGCGTACGCACTTCAGTCAAGGATTCCGAGTTTATAAACGCTGCGTCTAACAGTCTAGCTTACACTTGGCTCTCAAGCAGGGGTCTTATTCCCCATAGACGCTCAGACGCGACCAATCGCGCTGCCGCCTTCCGAACAGCAATGAAAATCCTTCCAAGAAAAAACCGCACTCCCTAGAAGGGGTGATAAGGCCTCTACTCATTCTTTGGCTCCTTCTTTGGCTCCTTCTTTGGCTCCTTGTTTGCGGATGATTCCCCGAGGAATTTCTTGCTTGCGTCCTCGGTATCATGGACGGCCTTCGCGTATGCCAGTTGGCTAGACATAACACCCCGGCGTGAAGCGGCAGCTTCGCCAGGTCTGACCCACGGTTCGACCTGCGCAGCCTGGCTAGCAGGCTTCATGAGGTAATCTTCATTCTTTACCGAATGGCTAGAGGTGTTCTCTGGTTGTGTTCCGCTGTTGGGGGGTTGAGGGGTGTTGATGAAGTTCACCCAGTCGGAGGTCTTCTTGTCGAGCTCCGGTAATCGGGCCGCGCGCATGGCCTCACTCAGTTCCACTGATGGAAAGGTTTTGATAGGATTGTTGGGATCATAAATCATGCCCTTTAGATCGGTGCCCTTTGGATCGGTGGTCTTTGGATCGGTGGTCTTTGGATCGGTGGTGTTTGAACCGGCCATCGTTCTGTTCTGGTATGCTGGTTCGTCGGGTTGGAGATGTTGTTGTTCTTGCGAATGAGGGAGTTGAAGCTGAGGCGAGGTTAGTTGGTATAGTTCTTATTGGAGGAGAGCATACAAGAATATAATTCCGAACAGCTCGAACGAACCTTGATGACACTGGACTGTTCAATAGACGGTCGTTCCAAGAGAAGGTGGACAATAATCGGTCAATATTCGTGAGTTTCGCGTACTCGGGGAGCCACCGATGATGTTGCTTGATACTCTCAATCGGGCCTGAGAAATGATACTCGTCTGGTTTGCTCCAGCTGCTCCCGTTCTTTCACAAACTCGTTACTCGGATGCCACTGCCTTTTCTGTTTCCCCCCCAAGGTAAGCGCCACGGTATCCTACCCAGTTGCTCATGCTTCAGCTTTTACAGCACAGAAATGCTCGTCTATATAATTTCGTCAAGGCGGCAGCTGCAACGCATGGTTGACAGTCTACCGTGCTTCGCATCAGCTGCAGGACTATGAGACCATGGAGAACGAGCTTGCACTATGACTACCTCCTTCCAGTTTCAAGAACCCACGAAACACTCCGTTGGCTGACAAATCCTACTACTACCAGCAGGCAAGAACTCCACGAGCTTTCAGTAGTAGGTTAGAGAGACAATGCACCGAGGCTGCAAGTATGGTGGATTGGTGAAGGGAGCTTCGACAAATCCGTAACAAGGTTCAGTGCCACACGTCTGTCTTCCCTTCATGATGAATCATAGGCAAGACTGCTTCTACGAGAGAAATCGCCTACCCTGTCAAAACACCCATTACCACACGAAAAGGAGAACCTGCAGACCGCGCGTCATCTGACAGACAGGCCCGTCGTCCTCGGAATGCAGACCAAAATCGAGGCGCAAGGTAACTGCGCTGGTTGCAGGACCGGCGACAATAGGGAGCAACCTCCCAGTTCCTAAATTATAGTTAGGAGGCGAGCACCGAGCTGATCCACGATCTACTCGCACCGTCCAAGTCGCGGCTTCGTTCACGGCCCAATATACGGGATTCCGTCCAGGACGGGAAATACAACCAACCAGTGTCCCGATCATATCACCCATGCTCGGCGTTCGACTCCCCCTAGTAGACCAGTCGACCAACAGAGGCCCGGATGGAGTCCTAATGCCTACCAATCTGCCTGATACCTAGACCGTGCCCATCCACCTCGCTCAGGGGCAGGCCTTCACGGGACGGGACGGGACGGGCCGAACCAAGGATATTGTCTAACTTAGTACTCTCGCGAAACTGCTGCCCCGCCGCCTGCCCTGCCCTGTTCATTGATCATTGCAGCCACACGCTTTTTATCCTGAATGACGTCCGCTTCGGGAAGGTCGCGGCGGGCTGAATGACATGGGTGGAATGTGGAAAGATGGACCCCGTGAGGCGGAATCGGTGCGCCTGACCGAATGCCCCCCTTGCCCCCGCGGGCGCTGGCGTTCACATGTCAGCTCGTACGAGGGCAGACTACTCGGGGACGTCGAGGGCTTCACAGACGGGCAGAACCAGAAGAATAGAGCGCGTATACTGCGCAGAGCAGAGAGCGCCCGTCGCAAGGGTGCGGGCAATAGACAGCACCATTAGCGATATTACGTACGAATGAAGCCTGACGCCTACTCCATGCAGCATACTCGCTCTCCACCTCCCTTACCCCCCTATCCTTCTGTATCCATCCATCCATCCATCCATCCATCCATGTATCACCCGGCCCTAGGTATCTACCCCCCCAAGAGCGCAAGCAAGCAGCAATCACTCAGACAGGCGTGCCGGCAACGCGGAACGGGTGCGCCTCGGTGTTGAAGACCCACTCGTTGTCGTGCGCGGCCGAGACCTGCCACGGCGCCTCCTCGGCCTGGATCAGGTAGCTGTACTTCAGGACCTCGGCGAACCAGAAGCTCTCCTGCTGGTTGTAGAAGCCGCCGCCGCCCGGCGCGTTGACGTCCATCACAGAGCTGAAGCCGACGCCCGCGCTGCACGTCGCGTTGATGTGCAGGAACGCCTCCCACGCCCAGTCCTGGTACTTGGAGTCGCCGGTGGCGCGGTACGCGTAGTAGAAGCTCTCGATCACCTCGGGCCGCAGGTCGTAGACCGGGTCGGTGATCCAGAACCCGGCCGTTTCGTAGAAGCTGCTCTGGTTCGCCGGTGGCGCCGCGTTGTTCGTAGCGTTGGGCGCCAGCTTGCTGTCTTGCCACTGGAAAATCTCGGGGCCAATTCCGGTCACAGTAGCAGTGTAAGTATCGTGGCAGGCTGCCACGAGCTCAAGGCCGAAATCTATGTATCCCTGGTTGTTGAGAGTCAGACCACCGAGGATGATGTTGCCGCCGTCGAAGCACGCAACTGTGCTGTGGAGTCAGTACCAGCCCCAAAGCGCCCTGCATGCGGTGTATGTGACTCACGATGTTCTGAAAAGAACGAGAGGTTGGCAGGTCCTGCACCCTCGTACGCAGCCAGGAAGGTCAGATCTGGGCGACTGCTGGGATGCGACGCCAAGTATTTGATGCTCGAGTCGACAGCTAGAGACCATCGATCCTTGTACTCGGCAAATCGTGCCGTATCGTACAAGTACATCTTAATCAGATACTCGTAGAACGAGTCTGTACCGCCATTCCATCCACCACTAGAGTCAACGAATAGGCCGTTTGTGACGTTCACATCGGTACCGATCAGTCCCGGATAGGGCTCTCCGACGCCGGGGTTCCGCACATTCAAGAGGTAGTCTTCGGCCGTCTGCGTCAACTCGGCGTACTTGGTGTCACCAGTGAGATCGCTCAGACGCGTCCACTCGAGAACCAAGGTCCCGATCGTCGCAATGCCGTTCGTGGTTTCAGTCCTGTCAGGAACAGGCCCCTCGGGGCCGTTGTAGATAAGGTCGTTGATCGGAACTCCACTTGACGTAGTAAATGCGACACTGAGAGTATCGGCAAGGCTCACAGCCTGCTTTAATATCGTGTCCAAGGAAGCTGGATCGTCCAATAGATCACTCAGGGGCCCTGACAGAAAATCATAGGCTACGCATGGTTTAGCATAGGTGACTTCAGACACAACTGCAGAGCTGACCTGAAAGCATTCCTGCCAGATAGCGAATGGTGGTCTCAAATAACGAGACTGAGGTGTCGTCAGGAGAAGTCATGTTGAAGTTGATGGTTGTAATATGATCCACGATCTCGTTGACGACTTTCTTGTTGCCCATGACCAGAGCAGTCGATATAGCATCGACCGCACTTGCTCCCCATCCATTCCTGTCGATCGTGGTCAGTTACACCTCATAGCTCTGCCACTCTTTGGCGTAGATGATGGCCATACCGGTCGTTGTAAGAAGTCTTCGTGATCGGCGCCAAGCTGTCATTGGGGAAGGCGTAGGTGTAATAGCCGTTCCAGGCCCGTTGGAAGGCTTCCGCGACGGCATCGAGTCTCTCGGGGTGAGACTCGTAAGTCAAGGCAGACACGACTGGTGAGACACAGCCCAGGGCAGCAAAAGCCCACGTGTAGCGAACCATTATTTAAGAATATCACTGACCAAAAAGAGTGAAGCGAGAGAGACAGTGAAGGGAAAGCAGTCGGTGCGTGGGAAGTATCCGTACTTAAGTACCTTTATTCGCCAGTACTCCTTCTTGATCATCCTCTGGTATATGGACGTTCCTCACCGGGAATCATGGCAGCAGGGAGGGGCGGTCACAACCCAAAATTGTGGATAGCCGCGAGCTGCAGGTCACCTACATATCGATTGCCAGGGATAGCTGCAAGTGCAGGCGAGACCTTGTTCAAATGATGGTTGTCATGTACGAACATGGTGCCTCGAAGCAGCAGCAGCAGCAGCCGAGCAGCAGTATCAGCGACTACCTTTGGGCCGGTGAGATCAGCATCTCGTGGATAGATAGATCCGGGGGTCATTCCCCACGCGCAGTGCGTAATCCGTGAGGCTCCCTGCTCGCGAAGTCGGTCGTGACTACTTCCTACATACTGCTCGTTGAACGTGACCAGCGCTGGCAGGGTGGGCAGAAGCAGGCACAAGCAGCTGCAATGTAACGCGGTGACCGCGTAAAGTGCCGCACGGGGATCCAGTCTCCCGACGCGTCCAAGTTTCTCGCCGGTCGTGACAGCTTGACCATGTGGTTGGTAATGCGTGGACATTACGGTGCGACGAGGGACAGCTGAGTGGCAGGTATTGACCATCTCATCTGATGAATACAGCGAAGAACCATGTCTTAGCAGCCTGCCGAGTAACTTAAATCATGCAGGTCCAGCATATTGGACGCACGACCACGGCCGGAGTGCTTAGCAACATGGATCTTTGAATCGTCCTGTGCCATTACAACAGAGCAGCTCGGTGGGCTATCTTTCTCTCCTCTCGTCTTCCCAACTTGGCAGTAGCTTGGTGACTTCATATTGGTTCGGTTGGTAAGGGTTGTATTACCTGCCGAAAAGGGGGGCCGTTCCGCAGATCAAGAAATAGCTCGCGCGTACGGTTCAGATAGCTTCAAAGGGCTGTCGGCAGCTGCAGCCACATCCATGACCCCCTTTAAAGAGAGAAAATGAGGCTTTCCATTGAGTCTTATGGCCAAGGCTTTTATGAAAAGGCCCGATGGGTAGTAAGATGATGAGTCTATCTCGAGTATTCGAACTGCAACTGGTCCAGTCCCAGACTCCCCCCAAGATTAGCAAGACCAGATAGGTAGTCCTTAACTGGTCCATCTGCACGAACCGGGCGGGTAGATAGATAGAATGGTGGCTTTCATTGCGCGGGGGACACCCAGCCCGGTTGCTAGATTCCATAGGATCGGCCGATGACGCTTTGCGGGGTAAGGTATAGCAATTCAGTAACAACCTTGAAGGTAGAACAAGCCGTGATTGTTGCGTGGGAGGGGGCACACGACACATCGTGTATGCATCGAAGCGGTAACGCGGCACACAGGTCGTGACCTCTTCCAAGACAGGCACGAAGTTCGTGCAATATGAAGCCACGCGCTCGCTGGAGCTGGAGACGCTGTGAAGCGATGATTGCTCAACGTTGTACGGGCTGTTCCAGCTCACGCGTTAGGAGGTTCAAGTTGGCCCGGGCAGGTCACACGCGCCCTGGCAGAAGCGGCCTGGCCGTCATTCCCACCCGTGCTATTGCAGAATCAGGCAGGTATCGACAGGCACAGGTAACGTTAGATATGCCTACTTCTCCTGAGATTGCACCTGGCCAATCATCCTCCATGTCGATATGGGCGTCGAACTGGGCGAGACCGTTCCTTATTGTATGCACTCATCGGGGACAATCACATATTACTCCGAATGCAACTCTATCCCCATGCTTCGGCGTGAAGGAATCCCCCGATGCTGTGCAAGCCGCGGCGGAATCCTCGCGTCGGCAGTCGGCAGCTGCAGGACAGAGAGATTGACACCCACTGATGACTACTAGCCGCCCCTGAAGAGCTTGCTCAGCTTGGTCGCGCCTTATTGACCCAGGAATTCAAACCAACGTCGGGCCAAGTTTGAAGTCCTCAGACAATGCTGTAGATTATCATTTATCCCTCAGCTTGGCCAGCGCAGCCGCAATACCTTCACTGAGCTGGTCTTCTGTTCGGGCGTTTGCACTCGTAGTCGCATCAGGTCTGCTTGCTCTTTCCTGTGCCGCAGTCCTTTTCGACTCCGCGATTGCCGCCGCTAACATTTCTTCCTCCTCGTCATCCATGTCGGGGTCTGCGATGTGGAATTGAGCTGGTCTGCTGTGTGGTGTCTCTGTCGGCCGGGGCCGTGACTGTTGTTGCGATGGTGGCTGCGGTGTGGCACTGCCTCGAGATGCGCTTGCGGCGAGACTTGGCATGTCTCTCAGAGGCACTCGACTAAGTGGCATGGCTTGGTCGACGGCAGTGCTGCTCTCGCTGGAGATGAGCCGCCTCTTCGCCGCCTGCTGCACTCTGAAGGGTTCCTCGACGACACCACACCACCTCTTGACCTTCTTCTCTCCCCAGCCGCCGATGACGGCAACTTGTTCGGGATCAGCGTTGACTGCGTTCTTTATGCTTCCGAATGCGCTGACCAACGAGATAGAATCTGCCTTGTTGATACCTCTAGGGACCGTGACAAACTCGACCAGCTTCTCCGCGTAGCTCGTGGCTTGTTGGCCCTTGATGGCACTGTAGTTCGCGTGCTCGAAGGACTTGTAAAGCTCGAGATACCTTGCGGCTTCGGCAGCAGACCAGCAAAGGATGATAGTGACATTGTTGATCAAGGAAGTCTTGGACAGTTCGCGCAGGGAGTCCTCGTGGTTCGGGATGTCTACCATAGTCAAGAGAATTCGTAGATTGTATTTCCCTTGGAGATTACGAATGCGGGTGTAGACGTATTCAGGATGCAGTCGGTGGTATTTGAGGCTTAGGAAGAGCGCACATGTGGTCAAGCCCAGCCCGTAGTCGGCAGGAATATCGCTGTACTCCCACGGGACGGACTTCAATGAGGCGAGCACGGGGTTGCCCTTCTGACGAGGCGACACTTGTATTGCAGACCCAGAGGAACGCTGCGGCAGAGCCTGGGGAGTCGGCTGTACGATCTTGGGGCCGGCGGAGGCATTGGAAGCATTGGAGGGAGGTCGCTTGTCGAGCCGTTGAGGAGTCGGCTGCTGGATCTTCTGAGGAGTCGGCTGTTGCAGCCTTTGGGGAGTGGGCTGCTGCGGGCGGCTCGACGGTTGCGGCCGCGCTTGGCTTGAGGTGTTCGCAGAGGCAGAGGCAGAAGATGCGAGCGCAGAGAGGAACTCGGGGTCGGCCCCGAAATCATCGTCGTCCATGGTCGCGACGTTGGGAAGAGGGTTTCCCCAAGGAGGCGAAAAGACGTGACCCGACGTGACGATATGCAGTGCCCGGCGGTGTGCCGCCCTGGATTTCAGCGGTCGCAGTGGACTGCCTCCGCTAAGCTGGCTACGGTTTAGGGGCAGCACGCACTACGGTCACACGCGCCTCCCAATGTGCTGTGCGCGTCTCAGAAACTCGAGGTCGGGCATCTCTCGCTACCTAGGTACCTACATTCGTAATGTGTTTTCTCGGCTGTTTGCGAGGAATAATTGAAGAAGATGAAGAATGAGGAACCATCATCATGTTCTGTGTAAGGAACCCTCAGCCACAAGCATACGACTCAATTTGCCCAGCCACAGACACCCACAACACTGCAGTCCACAATCACTGCACCGCCGCAATCTGGAACTGAAACCATCCCCTTGTCCCTTTCGGCACTGCAATACCAAGAACATCTGTTCATTTTGTTTAGCCGGTACATACGAAAGGCATGCAAAGGTAATCGACAGCTGGCTGTCTGACCCGTTCCATGATCAGCCGGTTTGATTCCTGAGGGCACACTCGTCTACACATCGTCTCGCCTCATCGTAATCCATTCATCATGCCTCCCCGGAAACGGGTGACGAATAAGGAGCAGCCCCCCGTTGGCAAGAAACCCGCCGAGACGAAAGAGGAATTTGAGGATGAGCTGAAGTTGCTCGCCGGCCAGGCCCAAGACGAGACCTGTGGTAGATGGGCCAAAGAGCAGGCCGTCGTCTATGGCAAGGCCGCGGCACTGATCGCTCTCATGGCCGTCTTTGCCAACGTCTCGTCGTTGACTCTGTCGCCGGTCTATGGTCAGATTGCCGCCACCAGGCTACACCAACGGGTCATCTGGTCGGCCTTGTTCGTCGGATGGGGTGGCAATCTGGCCCTGAGGCGGACATTACCAGTCAAGACGATTACGGTGCTGCCACTGGTCGCCATCTACATCCCCATGGCGCAGTACTACCTCTTTGGGCTGAGCAGTACCTTTGGCGCCAAGCTCGGGCCTGCCATCACCGAGTCTCTCACCCTATTCCCCTTGATGATGCTCAGTACGGCGTGTGTCGCTGATGTCTTCGAGGGAGCCGACATGAGTCGCCTGCCGAAGTCCATCGCGGGATCGGCCCCGGGTCTTCTCTCGTATGGACTTTTCAAGTACGCCGAGTCCACCTCCCTCACGCAACTGTTCGCGCAGATGGGAAGTTCGTTTGTGCAGACTCGTGTGGCTCTGGAGCTGGTGCTGGCGGCAACCTATGCCGCCATGGGCCGGTCGAGGCTTCTGATGTACGCCATACCTGCTCTCATACATGCTGCTTTCTTCAACACCCACCTCATCACGCCGACGGCTACAAGCTCGCTCAACTCGACCCTCAACCTCGATGGCTGGTCGGTAGTCGATCGATGGGAGTCCATGACTGGCTACATCTCCGTGGTAGATAGCTACAAGGACGGGTTCAGGGTCATGAGATGCGACCACAGCCTGTTGGGGGGCGAGTGGACCAAGCTGGCCAGACCGATAGTTGCAGAGCCCATCTACAGTGTCTTCACCCAGCTTGAGGCTGTCAGGCTTATCCAAGTCCCGGACAAGGTCGCCGACAGTGAGGCTAAGGCCCTCAATATGTGAGTTACAAGGTCTCCAGCATTTTATTAGATGGGTAGACTGACAGTATCAAGTGGTCTTGGGATTGGCACGACTCCTTCAGCGCTGATAGCACACGGCATTAATACTACAATCGTCGAAATCGACCCTGTAGTCTACGATTTCGCAAAGAAGTACTTCGACTTGCCGTCAAATCACACCGCCGTGATAGAAGACGTCGTGTCTTGGAGCAGGGTCAATGCGCCGGATCTTCATGAACACTACGACTACATTGTTCACGACGTCTTCACGGGTGGGGCAGAGCCGGTAGATCTGTTCACTGACGAATTCCTCCTAGGTCTCAACTCCATGTTGAAGCCCAATGGAGTAATCGCTATCGTAAGTCGTCTCGCCCCTGCTTTGCTGTACAGAAGCTGACAAGCACAGAACTATGCTGGAGACTTCACACTGCCTCCCCTGAGCATCGTGGTGAATACCATTACGGGGGTCTTCCCATCCTGTCGAACCTTCAGAGAAGGAGAACCCCCATCGGACGAGAAGCTCGCGGAAGATGGTCGCGACTTCGACAACGTCATAATCTTCTGCACGAAATCAACAGAGCCCGTCACGTTCAGAGAACCGGTGGAGCGCGATTTCCTCCAGAGCCTGGCCAGGAAAGCGTACTTGATGCCCAAGCACGAAGTACAGGAGTCATCGTTCGCGACAGAGGAGGATGTGGGAATCCTCAGGAGTAACGAGACGGAGAAGCTGGCCAAGTGGCACGATCAGAGCGCACTGGGACACTGGGCCGTCATGCGGACCGTCTTGCCAAAGGAGGTCTGGGAGCAGTGGTGAGCGCCGCCGTGGGGATGAGCCAATTCATCCATCAGTGTACTGCATGTACGAATGGTGATGTAGAGCTGCGCAGCTGAGGGAATATGTGTAAGTATATGGAGAGCCGAACTGGAGCAAGCACTGGGGTGATGATACTCCCAATTGATGCTTCCTGCACTCTTGCACATGGGATGGGTCACATCGACATACGGGTCTCGAATGATGATCTTATCTTCTGTTGAAGCCGCCATATATTCCGGCGTCGTCCTTCGAGCAGTAACGTGTTCGTCGAGGAGCCTGTTCGGAAGTTCTCATCCTGAAGCGCCGCGAACTGGACACAAGTAGAGGAGCTGCTCGCCACCCGTTCCCAGAAAAGCTTGTTCGGTGAGGCTGGACGGCATCTCCGGAGCCCAGGCAGACGTAGCACTCAGCCACCGGAATTTCACAAGCGATTGAGAAATTTGACGCCTACGTATAGAACACCCATCCGGAATGCTAGGCAGCCATGCTCTGAGCAGATTTGACGTGGGCCGGTCGGGACCTCACCCCGAGACGCGCCGACTCTCCACCGTCGGTGGCATCCCGAACCCTCCAGCGGCAAAGCCGGAGAAGGATGCTCGGTGGGAGATGGCGACTTCCTGGCTCCATTTACCGAACTCCGAAATTCTCAGAAGCCTGGATTAAGGACAGAGTGGACACGTTCACTCGCCGGTTATCGTTCCGCTGTGACGTGCAGGAACCCCACGGGGTACTTATCAATATATCTATTATGTGGTCATTGACCCGAGTCACCCGACGACGAAACTCATTGGGGCCGGTTCATCATGTTCAGAATTTAAGTATTAGCCTCACCTTGGCCGGATGCCCCCGATGTGGCGTACCGTCATGTTAGTTGAAAAATTAGGGGTTCTTGCCCGCTTGGGAGACTTGTATGACGAGCAATTCGAGAGTGTGATGTTGTATCATCTCATGCTTAGGTACGTACCCTACCGATGAAAAAGAAAAGAAAAAAGTCTAGCAAACATTCCCTCGCCACTCGAAGCTCAGGGACCACAATTACTGGCTAACCTAGGCAATTTGAGGGTTCAAATAATGAGGCAGGGTAGAGAAGGATTAGATCCTTGGAATATGACCTCAACTGCCGCCTCCCCCAACCTGCCTAATGCTTAAAATAGCATGGTGTGGGTAGAAATGTCGGGGTTACGCCCGTCCAAAAGATGCCGTCTCTCGAAGAAGGAATGCGCAATCGCCGTAATGTTTTCTCAGAGATCCAGTTATCGTGCCCACCTTCCGCTACGGAAGACCGAGACAATTCGGCACCTTGGAATTAGACTTGCCAATAGCCGCCAACTCGCCTCGTGGTTAGTTATAATAAGATGAAGGCCCAGCCGCCCAGGTTAGCAAAGAAGAAGTCGTTAGCAGGAATCGTGCAGACGCGCCTTTACTTTACGTTGCACGACTTGTCGCTACAATGCATTTGCTTAGGATCTTAGCCGTTATTGGCCTCTTGGTTGTGTCCTCTCTGGCTTCCAGTCCAATTTTCGCTCGGTAAGCTAACTTATGCTCCCGCCCCTGGCTAAGCCGCCCTTCGCTGAATTTGGTCCTAGAAATAAGGGCGATCAATTTCCTGTTAACCCGGGGGAGACGGAGCGCGCCGAACACGGCGAGTTGCTCAAAGCAAAATGCGCGGCCACGGGCGCGCTTATAGCGTTCACGGCCGATCGCAAGCCACCGGCCGACGTGCCCAACAAGTTCGTCGCCAACATCCCGTTCTCGCGCAGCAGAATCGTATGGAGTGAGCATTTGGAGAACCTCAAGAAAGTGGTCGGTACAGGGGAGAAGGTGGGATCCGGGACGCTCAATGCCTGGATTCAGTACCCGGATGATGATGCCCTCGTTGTCGAGGACGATGAAACGGGTTTCGATTCCGACAAAAAGGAAGATTCTAGGAGTACGATTAAGGAGTTCAAAGACGTCATCGAGGGCGCGGTCAAAGCACTGGTTGCGGATGAGGACAGGTGGTCTTGGGTAACCCGAAAGCCGGCCAAAAAAGGCAGAATGACGGTGGGTGACGGCAGAGTGAAATACAAGCCCAAAGGGCAGAAAGAGCACCAGTCCAAAACAGGGTCAGGGTCACACCGCTCTGCGGAAGAGTGAGACGGATGATGGGCGGGTCAAGCCACGGGCGGGACCGAGCAACGATACCTTACTTTATTAGACTATAGAATTTTATTACTCGCTAGATGCACCAGACAAAGGGAAAGACCAACGTTTTCAAACGTGATAGGCTCCGACCGCGTCTCTGAAGATGTATTTTCTATATATGCCCGATAGACAAAGACAAAGAAAGCCTGGCCGGCTGTCAGGGTCCAAGGTAGCGAGCGCAGCTACTTCTCGGCAACAACACCACTATCAGGAGAACTTAACTCGGCGACGACCGGACCCTGGTCTACCGCACGCTGCCGCCGGGGCTTAACGTCGATCGTGCGCACCATTTGGGCGGGGACCACCGTCACGGCCATGATGTGCGCCTCACGGGCCTCCCACTCTTCGGCGACGGATTCGCAGTCGGAGACGTCGGGCGCGTCGTCGTACGGATCGTCTCCCCTCTCGGCATCCGCCATCTCGGTATCCAGTGGCATCAACTCCTGGCCTTCCTGAACGACATCCTCCTCGCTGTCCTGGACGACACTCCGCCGCGTCTCCGGACACTCGGTCTCTACGACATGAGTAACAGGCCACTCGCCCGGATGAGCTGCTTGCGGCGTAGGCGAGCGAAGCACCAACCAGTCAATAGGTGGGGACGGCGTACACGAAGTGCCAATAGCTTCCCGCACCATGCTGCCAAAGTTCTCGAGTCGCAGTAGAGGCAGTCGCGGCGCGGCAGTGGTGTTCCATCTGACAGACTTGCTGAAGTTGTAAGCCACTGTCCCAGGAACTCCGTACCGGACGGCCATCTCGGCCTGGCTGCGGACGATGTGGAACTGCTCGACGGCCTTGCGGCTCGGCTCTCGTAGCATGTGCTTGATCTCCCTGGTACCCTTCGTGCTGGGGCCGCGACGCACCTGGCGCGCGGCCCTACCCCGGACGGTGAGGAGGTCGGCGAGGGCATCTGGCGAGTCTCCGGCGAGCCATGCGAGGGTCTCATCACGGCCTCTTACTCTGGGGGCGAAGTTGGCCGCTATACCTACGTGACCGGCCCCCCGGGGGTCATATTGGCCTACCTCTAGGGTGGGCTTGTCGGCCAGTCTTTCGACGCTGCCGCTTACGGAGGAATTGATCGCCGGATGTTTTCTGTTACTCCTTTTCTTGTTCTTAGGGGTGAGCCATTTCCGGATGGCTTCCATCGTTGCGGCTTATGTCACGCAACTTCGGCATAGAAGCACAATCCATTGGCTGGTGGACATGGGGGCCGCGGCAGGGTTTTATCGAGGGCAGGATCTTGATGAACAATAATGCATTGTCGGTGTCCTTGGTGACTCGCTCGAACAATGAAGACTGCCACATCTTGTGAATGGCGGAGCCTTCGTGTTCTCTTTGTAGTCATGGAGTACATGAATGTGACTAATAATGCCTGTCTGCTGCCATAACTTTACCTCCTATATAGCTTAGGTTATTAATAGAACAAGGACTGAGACTTACGGTTTTTTCAGCTCTGCTTTCTATTCTTAGAGTCGTGGTCATAGTGCAGACGCGATAGCTTGAACTGATATTTGCCGCTCATGTCTATACTAGAATCCGTTCCATGGTTCTCCCATCTTGTGATGAAGCATTTAGAGAAGGATGGTCTCCCGGCCTTGAGTTGCTACGATACTTAGCTGGAGGCATCTGCGAATGAGCCTTATCATCTTGCAATATGAAAATGCGGGTATATACCAGGTAATGGTGATGAGCACGGGACCCCCATCTTCTTTTGCTACCCCTATTTTGTGCTGTCGTCTAAGTGGGGTTCGGTTATCCAGCGTTTCTCAAGTCTACGGAGTAATTTCTTTGACGCATGACAACAAACATACGCAAGTAGACAATGGGGAGCTTCGCTCATTGATTGATTGTATTTAACGTGGGGGATCGCTCCTCAGTAGTGCAAACCACGCCTCCCAGAGTCTCTGCATCGCAGGGTTGTGGAGGTATCAAGATAATAAGTACAGTCAGTGGCCGTATGGCGCAATGGTCAAATGCGCCTGGTTGTGTTCTCGTTTGTGCGGTGGGCGACGAGAACAAGTGGGTTCGAATCCTGCTATGGCCCCCTTCTGACCCGGCTTGTGCGAGTCGACAACCAGCACACGACAGTGGAGAGGCCCCTTATCGCAGAGCCCGATAGCCAAGCAGCTTGTCTCCATAATACCCACTACTGCGAGGTTTTTCCCCTTGTGGTTTCCCTCGCCAACAGATAACAAACACCTACTTCACCCACCAATGCGACACATATCGAACGGCTACTGGAACGATGTGTACACCAGAGGACTGAGGTTCACTGGGTCGCTTTGTCACTGGATAGGAGGTTTTTCTGACAGAATCGTGCTTGGGTATTGACTAAAACCATCTGGTCACTCCAGGTTGGTACCGCTACAGTGAGGATAGGCTCGTGCGCGGATCTGAATGTATCTAGACTGACACCTCTACAACCTTACGATGCAATGGCTCTGGGAGGCGTGGTTTGCCCTATGGAGGGACTGCACCCACGATAAATACAATCATCATCATCATCAATCATCATAAGTACAGTCAGTCCCGCTCACGAGCCCATCCCCGTTGTTGCGGTGGTATGACTTTGGGGTCATCCATCTGGTCCTTTAAGAACAGCTATCTATCAGGGGCAGATTGATAAAAGAACTTGCTCTCAACGAATCTTGCCCGGTTGATGAGACGAAGAATGGGGCCTATGTGACTACAGTGTGGTGAACGGTCATTGGGAGGAAGCCGTGAGGACGAGGACTTCTAGCTGGGATGTGATTAGATATTCTGCGTCCATCTGTGATTCGTATATACATGTGATCACCAAGTTCTGAACAGAAGACCAACACCCTTCTTCGTGACACTGTCACGATGTTTCTCATCGGCGAACAATGCATTATTTCGTTATTATTCATTGATAGACAACAAATCTTGCCCATTCCGCGCTCCTCTCCCCCAAGTATTGTAAACAGGCTGCCCTAGGAGAGTACCTGGGCAGCAGTCGGTTTTTCCTAAGCCTCTTACAAAAGAAAATATGTTGTGGTGTTTTCTTCTTACCGCAGCTATAGTGATCATTCGAGTCTGTATGCCCAAAACGTTCATGATATCTAGCAAAGTCGCCATGTCCAGATCTGGTCGCTAGAAGTCTGTGTAGAGTGCTCCTTTTAAAAGATATAAGGTCCCTAGTTGCTCGAGAAGATGACGACATAATTGCTGTACTTGTTCGAGAGTGTTTGAGCGGGTCTACTTCTTTTCCGTCTTGTTTCAAGCCTACGAAGCACCGACCACGGCGCTTTAATATCCAGTGAGAGTAAGGAGGTTGATCGAATAAACAATGGCTTTATGATAGATGGGTTGATATCCGCTTTGTTTTCAAATAGTTATCGACAATGCTCCCCCTTGAAGAGACTTAGCCGGGAAAAAAGGGCACAAACCTCAATAAGCCCCCTTTAGTAGACATATAAAGAAAACTGAGCGAAGCTCCCAGCCACAAAGGCTTCTGAAAATCTTCATCTGCTTAATCAATGGGGACACAACAACGCTATTGAATTTGACCCCGACAAAACCGAGATCATGCACTTCTCATGAAAAAAGAACTCAGACAATCCTCCGGTCCGCCACGGGACAATGAACAAAACAGCAAAGGACTCCATGCAATGGCTAGATGTCTTCCTGGATAGAAAACTAAACTTCAAAGATCACGTTTCCTACTGGGCCAAGAAAGCTAGTAAGGTAGCAAATCACCTTCGAGGACTATGCAACACAGTCAAAAGACTTCCAGTAAAATCAACCAGGAGGGCTGTGAAAGCTTGCGTTATCCCTATTCTTACACATGGCCTGGAGGCCTGGTACCCAGGAATCAAAAAAGTTAGGAGCTTAGGTGGGACATCAGCATGTCGCATTAAGGGGCTTTTTGTGTTGAATACACGGATGTTGATTGATGCTATTGATTGTTCTGCTCTGTGTGCAAAGATTGATTATCTGTCTTCTTGGTGGGTCAGATGCCCTGTGCGTCTCTGCCCCACTGGAGATCTTCCGGTGTCTATCTCCGGCTCCCATTCAACACACCCCCCCAGGAACAACTCCATTCATTGGGGTTGTTCCTGAGCATTCAGTCTGTTGCTCTTCCTGTCCAAGGTTATCTTTAAGTTCTTGTAGCTTGCCAGCTACAAGTCTCTCATTGATATCTGTCAGCCTCACTTACTCCCTGAAGGTCTTGAACTTTGGTGCCGGTAGTGCCTTGCTCAGGCCGTCTGCAAGCATTATTCCACTCCGGACGTACTCAACGTCTATCTTCCCATTGCGTTGAGCTTCCCTTAGCCAGTGATTGTAAATATCGACGTGCTTGAGCTTTGTTTGAAGTGTTTGGAGGTCCTTCCGCACCAACTTGATGGTCTGTTGGTTGTCACACCAGATCCGCAGAATTGGACAGTCCAAGGATACGCCAATTTCTCTAAGGAGCCGTGAGACAAATATCACTTCCTTGGCTGCTTGGGCAAGGGATAACAGTTCTGCCTCTGTTATTGAGGTTGTCACTGTGTTCTGTTTGTTTGCTCTCTGTCACGGCGAGCGTACTGAGGAGCTGGGACATGGCCGGCAGCAAGCAGCTATTACTCTATTGACGAGAATATCAAGACTAGAGAGGAAAGGAAGAGAGAGAGAGAGATAGGTACAGTGGGAGGTTGTGTGACGGCTGTGGCGGCCTGCACAGACCTTCCCACATGACAAGTGGATACCTCCCAATAGGGGAAGGATCTGACCAGAGGATCCCCTTAAAGGGGCAACCTCCCACTGTACCTATCTCTCTCTCTCTCTTCCTTTCCTCTCTAGTCTTGATATTCTCGTCAATAGAGTAATAGCTGCTTGCTGCCGGCCATGTCCCAGCTCCTCAGTACGCTCGCCGTGACAGGTTGCCCCTTTAAGGGGATCCTTTGGTCAGATCCTTCCCCTATTGGGAAGTATCCGCTTGTCATGTGGGAAGGTCTGTGCAGGCCGTCACACTCTCTAGTCAATGATGCCTCCAAATAACTTCATGACATATGCTTGTGAGCTCTTTCGGTCAAGGCAGTTGTCGGCAAACGATGTATCGCTCCATGTTTCCAGCAGATTTTCACCCCCCCAACTGAAGAGCAAATGACCTGGTGCCTTTCAGATACTCTAATAGATGCTCTGCAGCAGCCGATATAAATTGTTTGGGTTGGTACTAAAGCGTGAAAGCCGAGAGGCAGCAAAGGAGATATCAAGTCGTGTGATTACTGCTGCGTACAGGATTGATCCGATCTTCTTTTGGTATCTGCTGATTGAGGCTGGCGAGGTAGTGGCTCTCTTCCTGTCAAATTATAGGTAGCTTTGAGCTTCTTTGTGACCGCCTCAATAGCGTTCTGATGGTGTCCTTTGAAAGCTATCACGATATCATCCACATAGAAGAAGATGATCATGCCATCCTTTATGAAGCAACAGGGTTTGTGAGCGACTGGTTTGAAATTAAGATCTGTGAGAGTTTTGATGAAATGCTTCTGCCATAACAAAGGAGATTGCCGTAATCCATATAGAGCCTTCTTTAGCAAGAGGACCTTTCCTTATTCACGATGCCCTTGTGGTATTTTCATGAAGACTTCCTTTTCTAGGTCTGTGTTGACAAAGGCGTTGACGGCATCGTATTGGATGAGCTCAAGATTGAACCGGGCTGCGATTGCCATGAGGGCCCTGAAAGATCTGCCTGCGAGAGTTGATGCATAGGTATCCTCATAGATGTTCTTATTCTGCTGGTCACCGCGAACCACGAAGCGTGCTTTGTACTTGCTTAGGAAGCCGTGCTTGTCAAACTTGTACTTGTACATCCACATACAGTCCAGGATTTGGTGTCTATTTGCTGCTGACTTGTCAGTGATTATCTATGATCCTATTTCATTGTGGCTGCTGATATGGTCAACCTCGGCTTGATGCCACTCAGCCTTGTAGAGATGATTCTTGACACCTTGACAGTTCTTTAGCTCTGATGGTAATGATCGTTGATGTATCTTCCCTACTTTTGTAGGTATTGAGGCTGGGCCATGATGATCTCCTTGGTGTGATGATCTCCCACCAGGGCGAGAGCCATAGGTTCTGTACTTGTTGTAACATCTCCCACCCCCCTGCGGACCACCCCCCTGCGGACCAGCGCGTTCTGACC